TTAAAATTCAAGAGCCTCCATTAAACTGGAGGTTGGGGTAGATGATCAGATTGTTGCTTTGAGCCTTAAAGCTTGTGGGAGCACCGCCATTTATTTCTCTTACCTCCCAGCACCCGGCCCTCAGAATTGCTCTCTGTGGCGATGGCCTATTTCCAAAAGTCTCTTCTAGCCGCAATTAGCAATGAAGTGGCGGCTGCACCCTCCAGGAACCGAGCGCTGTGGAGAGGCGCCTGGTTTCAAGCTTTGCTCCGAGGGTTGCAGGCATGAGCTATATGTTTTCTTCACCCTGGGCTGAATGTGGCCACTGTGACTGTCCCCTGTTTTGGCACGTGCCAGCTTCCAGGTGCTGCAGGATTGTACCATGACAGGGTCAGGCCCTGATCCCAAAATATTGATACGCCTTGGCGTGGCCTTGTGCAGCTCCCCCCATGCTACAGATATTTGGTGGGGCCTGGTCTGGCCCAAAATGGGCCATGCTCCCTACGCTGCTCTGAGCACGGGCTGCACCCCAGCGCCACGAGGCTGATCGCCCTCCCTCATTACCAGCGCTGCGTATGCGAGTAGCGTGAGGAGCGGAGCCAACAGTAAGTTAGCGCTGGCTGTGTCCCATACTAATGTTGTTCTTACTATTTCAGTGCCATCTTCCTTACTTCCACCCTCTCCCTGAACAACTAAATTAATTAGAGTGATTTTTTTTTATTTAAATACTGTCACGGAATAATAATTCTGGTGAATTCATTTTTTTCTGTCATTCCCCACTGCTTCTTTTCTCTGTTGTGCTCTCTTTTAATACACTGTTAATATTTTGTTATAGCTATACAAGATCACAGCTGTTGTCTGCAAAAAAAAAAAAAAAAAGAGAGTAAAATCATGCTATGTGCTTTTGCCATCCAAAAACCATTTTTCTTCCTCCACCAGCTCACAAAAAAAACCCTTCCCCTATTAAGTGCAGGAGCATACATTTTTCTTGGCTTGTAAAAAGCCAAAAAACCTCACAGCAGCTTCAGTGAAGCTGCAGCAATGTAAGGAAGCCAAAGCCCCTACGACAGGCTGGGGCCCCATCCTGAGCCCGTTATGAGGTCGGATCCTGTAAATCCTGGATTCCAGGAGCGACTCCGCACAGGTAGCAGGTCTGTGGGCATCACCCGCTCCTGCGCTTTACCTAGTCACTGAGGTATGTTTACCTGGACATGTTCATTTGACCTATAAACATGTTTTCTGATGGATCCAGTAACAAAACCACTCCTGCGGTCTCATGAAAGGACAAAAAAAATCCAATTAGACCCTGAATTTATATTTACAGTAGTGGTCAGGGCTGAGAGAACCATTGCTTAGCGTTGGCCCTTCTGGACAGCTTTCCTCGGCCCCTGCCAGACCTTTTCTGACCCTGCAAGTTCAGCCCTCGGTGGCCTTTTGCATCGAGACCGAAGCTAAGCAAGGATCAGGCTGGAGAAGCGCCATGCTCTCATCAGCAGCGCGAAGTGATAAATGAAGGAGAGCCAGGACGGAGATTTGAAGCGTTGTCTCCAAGTCCACAGCTCCAATTACAAAACTGATTTAAATCAGTCTCACAATCCACATAACCAATTATGAAATTCCTCCTTGACTCCCTGGCCCTGGACTTGTTCAGCGATTGCACTGCATATACCTTGTGTCTGTAATATTTTAGAGCATTTTTAAATTAAGCTCAGTCGAGGCCCGTGCAGTTCCAATTAACACATAGAGGCTGCGTGATCGCTCCGGCAGGGCTTGCCCGGCACTGTTGCTCCCTGTTGCCTCAAACAAGGGTTATTAGGGTGGCTGAAATGAGATTGCATTAAAGAAGTGAGATGAAAAGCTTGTTTTCCCCCCGGACTGCAGCATTCATCCCTCGCTCCTGGAGAGGTGAGGTGCAGTGATACGCAGAGTGCTCCTCTGTCCCCTCCAGGGACACCAGGGCCAGTGTTTTCAATGATCTTACTTCCCTGCTCAGACCAAAGGACCGAGCTCGTTGGCTGCCTGGCTTTTTTTTGAAAGCAGAGTAATGTAAAGCAAAAATTTCTGAGGGGATTCAGAGAGGGCTGACAACGGGTGGCACCTGCTATTACACCCGTACATCGGCAGGGTGGAGATCACCGCAAGCACTGAAGATAGGGGGGTGTCCCCATCCCTCCCCAGATGTGTACAACATGCTCACAATCTTTAAGACAGACGTTATCAGTTGTTTTCTTAGGCAGGGCTCTGTATTTCTGGTCACCCCTGGAACGAGAATCAACCCTCCTCGGGGAGGCAAAGGGGCGATGAGAAACCTGGAGCAGGTGTTCGGAGGCAGGATAGTATTAGCTATCACATTTATCATCCCGGAATCGAGCCTGGGGTGTGTCCTACCTCCGAAAGGGACAGGTTGAACCTGTGAGGCTCTGCAGGAAGTCAGGATATTTGTAATGTGGCACAAAAGGTAATTCAGCCCCCGGTGATGTTATATACAACCTCTTTGCCAGATGCTTCAACCCCCTAAACAGTTGTAACTGCTTCTCCACAGGTTTCAATTAAATTCCCTTAAGTACGTAAACTTTGGCTTGTTTGGACCAATACCTACAGACTTGATTGCAATAGCAGATGTTTTATTTTTACCTGCAAGTGAAAACGGGGAGCGTATATCATGGCCGTGACACATTGCGCATGAAGCAGATGTTTCTATTAATGCCAGAATTGGGTGGAAATTCAAAGGATGCTTTTTGCTTTTTTTTGAAAACTCTATTTTACCCAATGAAACTGCAACTTGCTGAAGTATTCCAATGAATCACTTCCTTTTTTTTTTTGATTAGTAGGTTCTAAAGGGACAAAAGAATAGCTTTGTATCAGTCTCCCTCAATTAAATGTAAAGTACATCTGGACAGAGTCTGAAGATCCATCTTTCACTGGCAGTTGCAAAGCCATCGACATAATAAAATAATACTCTGATTGGTATTACAAGGCTGCATTTAAATCATTGGCATTCATGCTCCGAGTCCTTTGCAGGGAGCGCAAGCCCTCCATTAGAGAAAAGCTTAATTTTATACTGTGATCTGTATAAGATCTGCAATGAAAATGAGAAAAGAAGAGCTTTTGCAGAGCTGGAGACATAATAATAGAAGTACAATGAATGTCTGGGCAGCTTTTTCAGTTACTTATAAACTGCAGGTGTCAAATGCATTCTGGAAAGAAGCTGAATTCCAGTTCTAATTACAGTCAGCAGGTTGAGGCGTAATTCAAGGCTCGATAATACCTTCAATCTGTAACAAAACTCCTCCTGCTATCAGTAAGAAGTCTACACCAAGATCAAGGAGAAAACGTGACCTCCTTGCAGTAGCTAAACTCTGAACTTCAGTATCCCACTGTAAAATCCCAAACACCCTTGATATTTAAAGTACCTACTCCTTGCATGATTATCTCAGCAAGCCTAAGCATCAAATGGGAACTGAACTAGTAAAACTGCTCTGATGATCAGGATGAGAAAGATGTGACACTGCAGCTTTCATCTAAAGTTTCCTTTGGCTCAAATTAGCTTTGGGGCGAAAAAAAAAGGAAAAAAACCCAAACCCTCTGGCTGGAATTGTGCGTGTGAATCCAAAAGCGAGTGCCGTATGGGCCTTCCCAGGTCTTACAAGGTAAGTATGACCTGGCTTTATCGGCAATCTCTTTTACCAGCAACAGTAAGTTTATTGAGCTCAAAGAGTTTAAGTTCATTATGTGCTTGAATAGCACCATGTACATCAATGCCCTGACCCAAAACTGAGTCTTTGAGGCCTTATGTTGAATATGTATAATGAAGAGTAATATTAAACTCTTCTACCTGTTAATGATTCTGGGGGAAAAAAGCAGGATGTGTGTGCTGGTGTGCTGAACTCAGCTACTGGGGGGCTGCTGCTCAAAGATAGGCAGAGATCTTGTTTAAACCCAGAGGGCAAAGTCTTTGATGGAGAAGCTAATTATGCCTTATTATGTGGGAAAACACAGCTCTAGAGCTACAGGGGCAGCCACCGCGCGGGTGTTGAGGAGGAAGGTCAATGAAAAGGAAGCAAGGAAGCAGACAGGCAGAGCTGCCTGGGAGAGGGAGGTTTTCTGAGCAAGGGAGATGCTCATTGCTTTTACCCTGCTCGGGGAAACAATCTTACAAAGCAAATTTCGTATCAGAGGACTCAACCAATATACCTGCCACGTACCATTCTTCTGCTGTAATGGAGAAGCCCTGAAGAAGAAAGGGGCTGCTTGGTGGAATGGCCTTCTGTTGGGTACCAAGAGCCAGGAACTGCCTGGGACTGGAGGACTTACTTGAGGAGTTACAGGCAGCTGGAATAAACTACAGGAACAAACCGAAACCACTGGAAGTGCTGACTTTTAAAATAATTATATTTGACATAACCCACACATACAGATAAGCTTTATGTCATTACCAAAGACGGCCCCCACCAACGGCATATGCGACTCTCAGTACATAACACCTACGTCCTCGCCACACCCCTGTGAGGTAGGGCAAGGCCGTGAACCCCATTTCACCGGGGGGAACCTGTCAAAACTGAGCGACTTTCTCAGGGTCACCCAGAAAGTCTGTTGCTGAGCAGGGAGTGGAGCGTGGGCTTTCAGAGAGGACAGCCGCGGGGCTGCTTTTTTGTGAAACACCCTGGACAGCCAACAGCTCCTCCGCTCCATCACGGCCATTTCTGCTGTAAGCAAATGGCCATGAGCAGCAGGTGATGTCAACTAAGTCCTCACAGGCATAAAAGTGATCATAAAACAAGAACTGGGGGAGAAAAAAAAGAACCTGTGGGAAGACCAAACTGATTTGTAACCAAATGCCAGTCTTAAATGCCTACCATGTTCCTAGTAACAAAATAAGTGCATATCAAAAAAAAGTATTTTAAGAAAATGTGACTTTTTATCTCCACCATCCCAGAATCATAGAAAACAGGGCTGGAAGGACCCCGAGGGGTCATCAGGTCTTTTTCCCAGCTTCTCTGATCCCCTGTGGTTGGGTCCCTTCAATAGATAGAGCTTATGGTGCTATCTTGGCTACTTGTGTCAGAGCTGTCCAGTGTCACATCAGGGCCTGCATCCACACCATCAGGATCTACTTGATCTTTAGCAAAGTTGATGAAAACCTAGAAGTTTAAAGGAAAACAGTCAGTATGTGACAGCGTAAAGAAGTTATAATATCAGTGAATATACAAAAGGAATGGCTGTTCGTTTGACTGTGAGCCTGGAGAGAGTGCTCAGGAATGGATTCACGCTGGATTTGAGAATTGCAAATGTTGGGCTTCTGTGGGCTAATGTAAATAAATGGATGCACATTCCTGTACCTCGACACCCGGGATGCAAAGGCAGACATTCCTATACAAAACCCAATTGTCCTGCAGGTCATGTTTCAAAAGTACTAGCGACATAATACCCATGTGGTAGCTTATTTTGATCACAGTGTAATACAGCTGTATTATTACTTATAAACCCATCTGTCTATATATAATTGACATCCGTACACATGCAACTGCATATTATATAGATAGGTATACATAATCACACCTAACAGTCTTTGTTTGAACAGTATCTAATGAATATATAAAATATTCTTACTAGAACACTACCTGCAATCACATTTGCATATACACAAATCCAAGCTGTCCTCCCACAAAACACGACTTGGGGCTCAGACTTCCTGAGGATTGTCTGCCTGTTTCTCTCACCGCTGCCCCTTATTAAAACAATATTGAGGACATCCTCCCCAGATCTCTGTTTAACAATTTGCAGGATTACAGGGCTGCAGTTTTTGCTCCTCTCTCTGGGACAGACCCGATATATCAGATGCTGATGGTCAACAGGATGATTTCTTATGGATAGTCCTTGTGGCTGATGTGTTTCCTACAAGATTTTGATACCAGAGGGAATGTTCTTCCGAGGGAAAATGGAAGGAACTTAACCACGAAGCTAGGTTTGGAGCAACCCAAATACAAGAAAGAGCAAAATCAAGCCCATTTCCAGGACTGGTGGAAAGCCTAGCACTGGACTCGGGGGTGATTCATAATCCTGCCCTTCATCCACATCCACGAGACTGCAGAAGTCAGCAGTGGCAGAGGGAAGAACAAATCCTTTATTCTACAGGCAGCTTTCTACGTGCGCTTTCCTAGCGCCAGCACAAGTATCTGGAGGCAGTGGTACTGACAAAGTACCCCAGGAGGAATATAGATGGAAATCCCTTTCAAAATGTAGTCTGTTGTGTGCAGCAGTCCATTATGTGTAACCATCAGTCTACTCCCCTGTTAACAGTTTTAAATGGATGGCCACACATCTTTAATTCCTTACCTCCTCTAACGTTGTTTGACTCACTGAGAAGTGCCTGATATTGAAGGCTGCTTTGCTGGCTTCCAGGAGATCAAATATATTTGCTACCCCTCCTGCAGAGACTGGAACGTGATACTCCACCATGCTGAAATGCCGATCCTGTGGGAACAGGAATGATGGGGTAAAGGTTGCTGCCTATAAAGAGCCAACAGATCTGATAGCTGTCTGGCTGAGAACAAAAGCAAAGAGGAGCTGAACCATGGGAGAATGAAGGGGCAGAGCATGTGTTCTCTCCTTCTGGCTCCCAAAGGTGAAGAATATTGTTGTCCGGTATTGACCGGTGTTTCGTCATTGGGAGTTTTTGTGGTTTTTGTGACTGGGAGGTGATAACTAAGCCCCAAAGCTGGAAGCTTGAGGGTAGCCATAGCATTTTCTAGCTCCAAGTCTGCCGTTTTGATTAATGCAGAGATTGGGTTACGGACAATGGATGGGATTTGTGACTCGGTTACTCTGGTTTTACAGTTATTCAGTTACTGGAAGCACCCGACCATCTCATTACCCACTGAATATGAAGTGGGTCTCCGTGCAGTCCAGGCTTCAGTGGGACCACTCCCAGCAGCAGAGGGTCACCTAACAGCTGCCTTATAGGATCGCTGCAGCTGTTTGGCTGACGTTATTTAAGCCACCAAGGAACTTGCACGCTCCAGCGCTTGGACAACGTTGCTGATAGCACTGACAAACGTGTGTATGAATCCCTTACACTCTGAGAGCATGGATCTATGTGCACAGCATGTTACAAGATGTCTATCCTGCAAGATCCTCTTGGTTAATTGAAGGGATTGAGAGGGCCTCTCCTGAAAGCATTTGCCCTGCTTACCTTCAGGCATGTATTTGGAAAGTGTGATTTCATGAACTCTGTCAGCGTCTCAGTGTTAACTGTGTTGCTATTTAAGTGCATCTTCACAGTGAATCCTCTTCCAAACCTAGGGGAAAAAGAAAATCACAATTAACACAGTAGGAAAGAGAAACAGATAAAGAAAATCCTTTGAGAGTGCTGCACAGCCTCTTTGGGGAAATCTAATCCAGGCAGAGTGCAGCTTGAATGGGGTCAGGGTTGTTAACCCGGAGTGAATCTTAATAAGAAGCGGAGCTATTGTGATAACTAATAAAATCGAAGCTCAACCCTAACATGCATTTCACATTTTCAGCAGTGAACAGATTACTTTGGGGAACACATCTCTGGGAAAAAAGGCTGTGAGAAAGCGCATTAGTTAACACAGAATTTCAATGGTGTAGTAAGAAACAAACCGGAGGATGACATTATTTAGATGCCCGTTAACAAAGGTCTCATGTTCTGAGCCCTCGAAGCTGTAGGTGAGTAACTGCATACGCTGCTCAGTAAAAGTGAAATAGATACATTTTACTGACCTGCTCTTGATATGCTGCAAAGAGCCAATGCACTGAAAACTCCCATTCACCATAATAGCCAGCCTGGTACAGAGGGCTTCACATTCCTCCATGCTGAAAAACCAACCAAGAAACTCTAATAAGTCATTGAGAAGGTATAAAAAAAATACTTATTTTAGCGATCGGAGAACATTACTGATCTTCCCTAAAGTGTTGTGGGTCTCTGTGGGCACCCACATTCAGCCACAAAAGCCCCCAAACCTGCCCTGAAATTCTGCAAGGACCAACGGGGAGTGTGAAGGACGGGCCTCTCCATACCTCCTGCAGACCCTGAAACTGGAGACAGAGCCAAACCAGCCCTACCTGTGAGATGTGAGTATCACCGAGCATTTGTTCTGCACTTCCTCACTGATGATTTTCCAAAGGTGGCGTTTAGCATTTGGATCCATTCCAGAGCTCGGTTCATCCTGTTGGGGAAGACAGGACTGAATATAAATTTGCACTCAAAATCTGATCTTCCTAACACTTGTGCTCTTTTTAGGTCCATTATTAGTGTTATGTTTGCTAGTAAGGACCCACAGGAGAGCTTACACTGGTACAGATCCGGGAGAAGGATTATTTTCAATTGCATTATGGATTTGACTGAGACATCCTACACTCCCTTCAAGCAGAAGCAAGTCAGCTTGACTAAGACCTCCATCCTCACGGCCCTTTGGAACTGCACAGCTCCCTGGGTGACTGGTGGGAACTCTCAGCCTCTGTTGGACTCTAGAGGAACTGACCGGCTGTGACAGCACCATCTAAGATCAATCATTGATCATGCATTTTATATCATGGTGTTTTAAATATCCATAAAAACCACAGGCATAACCTCAGACAAGAACCTATCCACTGGCACTTGGTTCCCACGTGCATCTGTGTTTTGCCTCCCTCTCAATACGCTGACAAAGCAAGTGTTGCATTTCTCCATTTAGAGAGACAGTAAGCCAGAGATGAAAGATGGTATCTCCTATCTTATGCATTGCTGATAAAATTGTTAGCCAATTTCCGATTGACAAATTGTTATTGTTGAGGATAACACCTTATGTAAGGCAGAAATAAAACAGCTTGGGTTCAGGCAGCAGTCAGTACAAAGAAAATTTCCCCACCTTCTATTTTTGTTGAGGTTTTTTTTTTTATGTCACAAAAGCAGCTAGAGGGCTGGTGTACATGGTCAGAAGTAAAGGCATTAGTGCTGGGCTTGATACAAGTTGGGGCAAGGAAGATTTATGTCCACTAGGTATCAAATTTAATATTGGGAAACCTGCACTGCACACATTCAAAACACAGCAAGTGGAAAAACTGCACAAAAAGGTCTATTTTAACAATGGCATATCTCATGGAAGAACTGGAAAGTTCAAAATGAAAGACAAAAGGGGAAGCCAAACCTAGAAAAATAGTTTTATGTTCTAATCCTGAGGGAAGTTGCTCCTTTGCTCTCCTACAGATTCGGAGCCTTAGATACTGCTTTTCTTGCAACACTGCACAGGGCAGTCGAAACAAAAAACCCAAGATAGCGCTGGGAACAAGGAGAATTTCATTGGCAAATATAGACTAACAGAGAAACTGGCAGACTCACCACTCTCTTATGCCCTCAAAGAAAATTTGGGTGCTTGCTGGAATCTAAACTTCTTCCTCTGATGCGTATGTTGTCAGGCTAAGTATGGGCATTTGGGGAGTGTCCTGCAAGCTGTGCCTAAGAAGGTTTTGCTAGACTGTCAAAGTTCCTCTGCCAGCCCAGAGATCTGCTCCTCTTCCCCCCAACAAGGCCCCCATTTCTCACCAGCAGCAGAATTGATGGATTCCCAATGAGAGCCAGAGCAGTCGACAATTTTCTGTTGGTGCCATAACTGCACATAGAGGTGACTCTGTCTTTGTAGGCCATCAGATTCAGCCGGTGGAGAAGCTGAAGTACAACCTATGGGAGCAAGAGTACAGCTTTCACAACAATGTCCAGGCATAGATTACCACATGCATATCTATTTATTGAAAGACTAATTAAATCAATGTAAAGGCTCTCAATAACTGGAAAATGCTCTAAGTCAAGCCCCAGTGTTACTCACTCCTTTGATCTCTCTCTCTGGGATGCCATGGAGCCTAGCATAGTAATACATGTGCTCTTCCACTGTCAGCAAGTCATCCAAGGCGTCTTCTTGAGGACAGTAGCCAAAGAGTGACCAGTGTGCCTCGCTAATGTCATTCAAGGACCTGTGTAAGGAAGTCGGCAAGTCATTTTAAACACATTGAATTCCCAATGCACTCTGGAATCAGACAGGAGAGAGAAAAAAACCCTTCTCTTGCTTCCTACTCCTTCCTCAACCCTTGAAGGAAAATGCTATGAATTTGCAGACCTTCAGCTTTTAGGCCCTCAGTTCTGCAAAGGAAGAATTGTATTTGCAACGTCTGTTAGTCACGATGTCTAGTACATAGCTCACCAATTACCGCCAGCACTTCAGATGGCACAGCTGCCACCAAGCCTACTCCTGTTAAAGAGCGCTTTGAGATGAGTCCTAGTGGTCTCCAGATTCTAGCTCAGAAGTGGGATCACACTCAGCTGAGGATCTGATCCCATTTGCAACAGAATGAAGTGAAAGAAACACCACTGAGAACAAAGAGGTACGACAGCAAAATGCAAACTCTAGGGAAGCAACCATACCATCTTCAAAGGATGAAATTCCCTGCCTTATTTATTTTTGCTCTGTTTTAAATATTTCGTTTTGTTTCGGACTTTTACATTTCTTTTCCTTTGCCATCCAGCCTTAAAAACTGCTCCCAGGCTGATTTGCTCACGCGCCTTCCCCAGAAATCACATCCTCCATACCCAGAATGATCCTGGACCCGCAACCTTCCGCTGGATGCTCCGATATCGCCTGTCAACATCTTAAAGATGGTCGTCTTTCCAGCTCCGTTCACACCAAGCAAGCCAAAGCACTGGGTTGTGGGAAAGAAAGGTAGAAATGTAACCATGCTGTATTTATAATACAGAAATATTGCTCCGAGATGAGTGCTCAGTGCATCTCGTCTCTTCTTGTCTCTGGACCCCTGAGCAAGATGAACTGCAAGAGCGGCAGAGGTACTCAGAGCATACGAACATTATAATGGAGGTTGTTTATGGTGCAATATACTGCAGCTTATATTAGGACCATTTGTTTAATACGGTGAAGAATCAAGGATGTGTCTCTAATAGAGTCATTCCTTTTACTGCAAGGTGCATTTTTGCAGTGAGCTCACCTGACAGGCCAAATCCTGATCATCTAATTTGTGCAAAGCCTCCCATTGACAGGAACAGAGCTATTCATAGGAATGAGGTGAATGAGGTTTGTGCTGTCATTGGTAAAACCTTAATGTGACACAAGATTTTTGTCAAATAATCTCACTAATGCACTACATTAATAAGATTAAGAACTGGCTCCCTGTAGTGCAGTTCAGTATCTCACGCTAAAATCTATGTTTTATTGCTAAGGTTGGAGATACGCAGTTGTGTGTTGCATAAGCAATTACCATTGTGCTGATAATTACTATTATTTTGATATTGTTAGTACAGACCAGCTGATGTGAAAATCCTCGCGTGTTGGGCCCACTGCAGAGGCACAGCATTGATCCAAGGCTCTTCCCCACCTCGAGGTCCGTGCAGGGACAGTATGTGCACAGTCTGCGGGTGCAGGGCCATGGCCTCTGCTGACACTAGCATCGGGCTGACTTTTGCCAGAAGCTAGAAACCTCGATGCCAGTTGTGGCTTGGAAAAAAGCCTCTGCCAGAAAGATCGGTGCCACAGTCTCGATGTGAGGCTGCTGTCCTCCTGCCCAGCACCCTACATCCTTTCATACGCCCAGTATCTCAGTGGGACCCAGGCAATTAAAAAAAATGAGGTACCAAGGATTGCTTCCAAGCTTCCCCACAAGTCAGGAGCACAGCCTGAGGCAGGGTCTGGTCTCCAGAGGCCCCATGAACTTTCCTCTGGGTCTCAGAGGTGCTCCGTATGCTCCTGTCTTTTCTCATGAGTCAGTGTTTTTGTAGGTAACTGCACTGACATGACCAAAGAATCTTTTTTTCTTTAGAGTTAGTTTTAAGTCTTGAGTCATGAAAACATGTGTTCAGCTGAAGTGATTTGTCTTTCTCTGATGGGAAATACAAGTAGATAAGCCTGATTCACTGTCTCCCATACAGTTTAGGTGCATAATTGCAACTGGACAAATTCTGCTGTCTTCATTTACCAGACAGTAATCCACAGTGACCCCCTCAAATTGCACTGTGCTAGGTGCTGTACAAACACAGCATGCAGACATTTTGCTCTGAACACAGCTCCATCGCTGTCCCATCCACTTTTCCTCTTCCTAGGGCCTTCAAACTATCACTTGGTGTCCCAAATCCACCAGGAGCCTTTAGTCACTACCATAACCCCAAGGATCAATAACTAAGGCGAAGGAAGGAAGGAGGAGGTCAGAGCAGAACAAACCATTACAGTCACGCTGGGACAGCAGCAAGGAGCGGGAGAGAAAATGACAGTGGGACTGTGGATCTGTTCCAGTTTCCCTCCCCAGGGCAGAAAGTGCCCACAGCCTTTTCCCCTCGCTTACCTCTCCAGCAGGGATCCCAAGGCTGATGTTTTTCACAGCCGTGATGCGTTTGTGAGGAAGGTGGTAGACCTTTGTGAGATTCTGGAGCTGCACCACGTCGAAATCAGCTTTGCCAGACTCCACCCGGTTCCTCTCTGCCTGGACGTCTCCGTCCTCTTCAGCCGCGGGTGGCAGAAGCGATGCTTTGCCATGCACTCTATCAAACAGGAACCTATGGGCAGGGCAGAGAGGGGGCCTTATGCTCTGGCAAGCAGACAGCAGTGGGCCTGTGTGCTTGGGATACTAAGGAGCCTTCCTGAGACATCCCAGGGCATGCAAAAAATACAGAGATATACAGACAGTTTCTATTCTCTCCTGGTATTTGCACCATTTAGGGAATTTAAAAACCCAATGTTCTCTTTCTGCCTAATTTTTTTTCTCTTTTTCAGCAAATATTCTGAGCTGGAGGAGGTCCTGCCTTGTGGACTTGTAATGCAGGTGACAGGACTGTTCTTGCTCCTCCCTGTCTGCACCCAGGCCAGAGGAGACAGGGAGATTCAAACAGCTGTCGGTGGGCTGACTGCTCATATCAGCCAGCTGAATTAACAGCCCACCAAACCCAGAGCCCTGAAACAAGGGCCATACTCTCAGCCAGCAAGGACTACCAAGGGACTCCACTAACCTATACCTCTATTAGTTAATACTCTAATTACTGGTAGATACCGGGACTGCTGCCAGAGAAAACTTACTCCATGTTTGCAAAGTGTCTTGGAAATTTATGGGCTTCATAACTGACAATGATGGTGCAAGAGCCCAGAATTAAACCCCTGAACGCTGGCTTGGTCTGTTTTCATTGCAAGACTCCAGATGTTACTTACTCTAGTATGTTGTTCCAAACTCTCTGAATCATCCTGTCATGAACTGTAAGACGAATGGCAAAAAACACGGTGCCCTGGATAAACATGGCAAACAGCTTGGATGTGGTCTTGTCCAGCTCAAAGGTTTTGTCAGGGTAGTCCACTCCATAGGCTTTTAAGAAGCCCAGCAGCGCCTGATCCTGTGACAGTTCAATCAAGCCATAGCCGAAGCAAAATTGTGGGAACAGAAGGAACACATGCCTTAAGTTTTCAGCGAGATCATGCAAGCCCTGAAAAAACCAAAAAGCAGCAGAGTCAGTCACTGTTTTTATTCATGGAATAAATTCATAGGTTTTATGTGGGACTGAAGTGTAACAATTACATTGGGATTTGCTTGTGTCTCGGAGCAGAGATAAATTGAGAGCAAAGAGCTCTGGAGACAGCTCGTTTCACAGGCATAAGGTCAGAAAAGTCAACAGGCAGCTCTGAGGTTGTGATCACCCATAGTAAACAGTAGCCAGTTCCTGGCGCAGTCCCTCATTGCTGCTCCAGCTGCCTCACTCTGTGCATGCAGCAGCCCAAAACCCACCCATGAGCCAGAGCTGAATCCTGCCACTGAGCTGCACTGTGCCTCCCAAAACTACAGAGCTGCTGCACCAGCCTGCTGCGGGGTACAGCGCGCTCACCAATCCTGCTCCTCTGGAGAATTGTCCTATCTGTTTTCCTTGGACAAACATCTCCATAAAGCACAAGATTTGGCTTTAAGAGACACAGAAGGGCAGTCTCACACTTACAAACTCTCGTACATGGAGATTTGGTACATTTCTAGCAGAAGAAAGGATTAGTGCACACAGCAAAGTGGAGAGGCAGTAAATTAGCATGGAAAGAGACTGAATCCTCTGTGCCACTGGGGCACAGAGGGATACAAGATTATCATAATTGCACATTCCTAAAATCCAGAGGGTTGCTAAACAAGCACTATCCAGCTAGAGAGAAAAATCCAACCCAGCTATTGTTTTACAAAGTAATTGACCTTCATAAAAGAAGAAAACTAAATGTAAGGTGTACATTTTATCCCAGTGATTCCCAGAGATATCTCAGTTTAAAAGAATGCTTTACTTTAGGGAATCATCACTGTCTCCGAGTCATTTTTCATCCTTGCAGGGAGAAGATGATTGCATTACAGATCTAGATGACAGACAGCCGGTGCTGGGCTTAATGCAGCACATGTCAGACTCAGGACAATGACATCTAGTTGTCACTCTCCACAGTTCGTACTGCAAGAACTTAGCAATGGTTCAAAGTCCCCATCAACTTTTTATCAAACATCTACACCCACCTCCTGCCTTTCTCTGCACGGGCGGTTTTCTACCCCTCTTTTTGTATTCTCCCCTCTGTCGCCATCATTTCCTTCTTTGCTGGGGGTGCAGATTTACAGACAAGCAAGATTCGTATTTGACTCATGCCCTGTCTATAGGGAACCCCATTAAGTCCTGTGACTAGTGTCCTCTGCTCGGTCTACCTCAAATATCTTGAAGCCAGCCAGTTGCTAAGGACCTGATCAAACCCACCAAACTCAACAGGAAGCCTCCTGTTGTTTCACCAAGGGCTTACTACTAGTCAGGTTCCTACCTGGTCTGTGGCCTTTTCCTGGGAGAGCAGAAATACAACCGAGTGAGTAATGATGGTATTGATGCCAAAGAACAAGTTGACGCAGACGTAAACAATGAAGGCCATTCCTGTTTCTTTGAAAAACCCAGCCAGCAGGTACATCCATGAAAACGTTGCGTATCTATAAATCACCAACAGTGCAGAGAATACTAGAGTAACTCAAAGAGTTATTGAAACCAAACCACTAAAGACCTCTGACAACATTAACAGTTCTGTTTTGGCCTGTGACTAGGTTTCCATATTACAGGTGCTTAAAGAAGGAAAAATGCCTTTGTATCTGTTAGAATTTGGAGAAAAAGTTTATGATTCATACTTTGAACATGGAGCCCCAACTGAAAGCAGACAGACTGGGCCTGGAATATTCAAAGCCAGGGAGACAGTTTTGCTAAGTTTTCCTGAATTGTGCTGCTGTTTGTTTTTTTTTTTCCCCCCCTCTCTGATTTTGAAATGCTTCTATTTCTTGAACTTTGCAATAGTTCAGTAAGCATCTGCTTACAGCTTGGGCTGTCACTATGACCTTGAATATTTCATATCCTCATGTAGAGTTTGGTTTGAGTAAAGCAGGCATGACAACAGTAGTTTATCTCACTGCTCTTGGAAGAAGCACTAGGAACTAGTCACCATTTGTAAAGTGCACATTGAAGAAAAAAGCCCAAGTCTTGGATCTCAAATTGCAGCAGCCTACAATATCCAGTTCCTCACTCTGTGCAATGATATTTAAATAACTAAGCTCCACACTTACCCAAACAGTAACAGCAGAAGAAATACTGCCAGTAAGTTATTGTTGTTGCAGAAAGCTGGTATCTGGAAGGATGAAATAACTCCTATTGAGAGTCCAATAGGGACCATAAAAAGTACCTGCAAAATGATATTAAAAAGATGTTATTAGGATGATAATTCTTAAACATTTTTCTGGAACTATGCAGAAGGAACAACACCAGGTCTGAATCTGGTCCCACAAGTGCAGCTTGGGTTTTCTAAGGGAAACCAAATACACATGGGGTCTCAGTCCTCCTGAGACTTTCGGGAGTCTTGCAGATGAATTCCCACAAAGCCACTTTGAATAGGCTAAGCCTCAACATTCAGGACTGTGGACAGAAAGTGCCTTAAAAAAAGGTTGTGCATGAAAAATACCCCTTTGGGTTTTCTGTTAGCCTTGCAGTCAGACCACTTCATTGTGCCCTGTAAATCTAGTCTTTTATAATGTTGAGTCAAGCCAGGGACCTACCAAACGTCTGCCTTGAGAGGTTCCTCTCTTCCCCAGCTTTGGGATTTAACAGAATTTACTGGCAGGGATTCACTGAGAAATATCAAGTTGCCGAGAGCGCTGGATTAGTTTCAGCCCACTGAATACTGATTGTGGCAAGGACTCTGGGGATTTTTCCACAGGCTGATTTACAAACATGCAGTGCTGGAGCAAGGGCCTGGATCAGGGAAGCAGACACAGGCCTGCCCCATCCCCACCCCTGCACTGCAACTCGGGGCTGCTCTGCCAAGCCAGACTGCAGCCATGCTGCCTTCAGACCCCTTTCAAGCCCCCCCTGCAAGGCAGGAGATACTTGTGCTGTTGCCTAATCACACCAGCCGCGATAAGCAGGCAGTTTAGACAACTTAGTGGTGAGAACTGTATTGTTAGGACTGCTTTGTTAGTGTGCATCGGCATTACCAAAACACCTAGAAGCTTAGGCTGTGCTCTGCAGAAAGAGTCGAGGCTCACATTCCCTAAGGGATTTCAGCCCTTAGCCCTCACTGCATCAAAGAGGGCTGGCCACCGAAATGCCCTTGAAGATTTCATATTTTCAGGAAATGATGATATCACTGGGATTTTAGGCACTAGCAGAATTGCAGCAATAGAAATTTGTCGGATACATAGAGCTGACCACCATTACAGCATAGCTGGCAATGCCAAAGCTCACGAGCAGAGATAGTCTGCACTTGCAGATCTCTGTCTATGTGAGGGTTTGACATCGTGCACCGAAGGTAATTCATAAGACACAAAGCACTTTAGTCTATAGACACTGTGCGTATTTATCCTCTTAGCCCAGCAATGCTTTCCAGCAGTGCTATTAACCCTCTTTACCATGAGGAAACTTAACTTCAGGGAGAACAAGGGCATGCCTACGCCACATAATGCAGCACAGTGCTGGGGAGCTCAGCTATCTATAGGAACAAGGCGGTAAATCTATACAGTGCAGTGCAGCACTGTAGAAAGGAACTTGCTCAGGCCCTGGAAGGCATATAGCTGCATTAGTAGCTTTCTGTGCTATGTGGTGCTTAGTTGCCGGCTGGGGTTAAACCACAACACTTTCCTTGGCTTAAAAACCTTTATAATATATAATCTTAAAGAAAGCATTCAAGCCAGCAATGGATTTTTGCCCAACAGGGGAGTGTCAGCTGTGAGATGTCTGCTAATGTCACACCCCGTACTCCCAGGGTTTCCAAAATGGCTGTAGCCTCAAGCCCCAAAGCCTTACCCCAGATGTATAAAGCCTGCACGACAACTAATCTAGCCCTGCAAGCTAACAGAAAAGCAGCTTGCTGCTTGCATGTTAAAATTGAAATCAAGCTCTGGCCTGTTCTGTGTTGCTCTCATATAAATGTGCTGAGTGTTTTGCATACACTCGAGAGAGAAGGAATGCCTTCGCTTAGCAAAATCCAATGTTGCGGTTCACATTTAATAGTCTTCAATGCCTTGGAGAACAATTACTACATAACGCTTTTGGTAGTAATAATATTAAGAAGTCTTGGCAACGAACTTTAAATAAAAAACTTTTTTTCCCCTGCTGTGTAATGCTACTCTTGGTGCATTTAGGAATGTGAATTATTTACCAGATCATAAACGAAGTTAGTCACCCAATAGCTTGTCATCCCCATGCCTGAAATATGCTGCAGTTGTTTGGCTTTGGTTTGATGTTCTTTTACCACGTAGAGCACAAAGCTTGCCGTTGTGATAGAGTAGCCAACCAAAACAGACATTGAAACGATGATGTCGAGTAAGCTGTTGAGCCTGGGGAGAAAGTGGAGAAAGATGTATATGGTGAGTCAAAGTAGCAGATTTCCCCCATTGCAGAGGCACTATTTAGAGCTCAAAAGCAAAGAGGTCCTGATTCTGTGGCAGCATCTTTTGCTGATGTTAATTATGCCTAGCAAAAAGGACTCACAGCACTGCGTCGTAACACTATACCATAGCATTGATTGGAAAGGCCAAAAGGAAAATCATATAATTATTATTATTGTGCCAAAGCACAAAAACCTGTGATGCTGTAACTGTGACCTCCAGATCTGTATGGGTTCCTACAACGAAACAGGAATCAGCAGCTCTGTGGCATGCAGGATGCTACTCGTGTAGAGGGAATGAAGACAAGGAAGAGAGCATTTTCATCATTTAGAGAAAGATATTCAGTAATTCAGGCTGTTTTATGGTTTCCAAGAAGCCAGCTTGCTCCTTTTGAAGCTAAACAATTCGGGCATCAGCCAAATGAACTTTCTTACATTACTTGTTCTTGACTCTGTCCTCCAGGATATGGGTGAGCTGATAGGAAAATACCTACAAAAACAAAAAGAAAAGAAATTGAAAATGTGGCTAACTTAAAGCTTCCTTCACCGGTTCCTGATATTGACAGTAATACAGAAAACTGTGAGTAGAGAAGAAAAGCACATCAAAAGCCTGTTTTTGCTCTGTCATCTTGGTGTGATCTTGGGCAGAATTTTAGGCATCCTCATTTTTCCTATGACTTCACTTCGATGCACAGCAGATCTGAAATTCAAACCCTAGGCCTTGTTTCTGCATCTATCTGGCTGATAGTATCATTCACTTCAGTGAGACACTCCCACACCTAAATTAGGCACATGCTTGTTGGTCCAGGTATTTTAGGTTAGATTCCTCAACATTGACACATTCAAAACTAATGAATATGTTTCGTTTTAAAGCTGCTGTTTGGTGATCTCACTTCATTTCATTTGTTCTTTTATCATCAGAAACAAATCATTCCCTATTGGCTCTCTCCACAACTATTATCTTCCTATGATATATGTCTTTCTCAATACGGGCATCTGTTGAGATGCTCGCATAAAGCCAAGTAAGCTACAGACACTTTTGTTCACAGTTTGGCAATAAGTTAATTCTGAACTATTCTGTCTTACACAGCTAGGGGGAAAAAAAAAAGAAAAAAAAGATCATTTTGTCCAAAGGAACAAGCAAAAATGCATTTGTAAGCCCAGTGTGATGTTTTCCAAAAAGATCACTTAAAAATGGGTTTGTATCAAGCACAAGCTGCAAGAGAGAAGTTTTCTGCTCATGTGCAGTTATCTTTATAAGATTTAGTTTAAGTACTTCTTTACCAAAGAGAATACCTAGCTCAAAATATACTAGTATCGTTCATCACAGTGCATTTGCTTTGTTCGGAGGCAATCTGTGCCTATAAAACCAGAGCTTTCTAACAAAGGGAGGAACTTGGGGGGCTCTGGTGGGCCAGTTCCAACCTCCAGTGAAGGTCCCTGCCTTGGTCCCACCAAGACTCTGGCACCTGAGAAAGGGTTTAGGCCAAGATGTTTATGTGCCTAAACCCAAGGTTCTTAATCCGTATTTAGGCACCTAAGTAAATGCCTCAGTTCTCAGGGAGTGCTGGAGGACCTCTATTAAATCCAGACATTTGCTAGAACATGCCACCTCTGAAATTTAACCTCCTTACAGCCAGGTGCCTGACTTTCAGCAGTTATATGAGGAAGAACTATTCTGGGCTATTTTCCCTATGAACGAACACTCCGACATGGGGACCAGAAAGGAGGAGACTGTGGGTTTAGCCGACTAAGTGCCATACTGAGCAAATAAATTTGAAAAGGAAGATTTCATAGGAAATTAATTTCAGAGAGGGGAAAAAAAAAACCATCTCAGTCTTGTCATTAGTGAGAGAAATGGAATTAAAATCTTGGGCTGCTGATAAAGGCACACAAACAGTCAGGAAATGTTTCCCTTCTGTAAAAGAGAAAGAGAAAGAAAGATACCGTCTGTCTAATCTGTTAATACTTCACTATAAAGCCATTTTCCTTTACTGAAGCTTAGGCTAGAAGTCAAAATTTCCATTTCAATGCTTTCTCTTTTTTGTTGGTTGGGATTGAGAGAAGAGAAAGCACAATATACATAAGTCAAAAGCTATTATGACTTGCTTAGTGACAGGGTAAAAAGCTTTTTATGTATTTTTTAAAAATATACAGAGTCTAAGTCAAACCTCTAAAGCGGGACTGGCACCTCTTTCAAACTGCTGAAATGACAACACACTTTTATCTGACCATTTCAATGGTTCTTAAGCTGTCATTTACTTGTCACAACAACAAATAGATTTAGCTGCCAAGAACATACCACGCAGAACATCTGTTCAATTGTATTTCAAACTGGATTTACACTACCCCAGGGGAGGTATCCTCGTCCATTCATTTTATTTCCCCCATTCTATGGCTTGGATCATTAGTGGGAAGCAGAGAATTATCTGTCTGGTCATTTACTACTAAGCATTTCTTTCCAAAAACACATAAGCAGCAGGACAGATGGAATAAAACCTGCTGGTATTCTTTCCCACTGAAAATTGTTATTTTGCTGGTATAAACTTTCCCTGTGAAAACTTTCTGACTGTTCACACGAGCTTCCTGCCTTTGCTCTCGCTACAGCATGGGTTGGGAATACAGAGACAGGGCGAGAAGGAAGCTTCACTGCTTAATAATTCAGCTGCGCTGGGATGTTCCTGCCACTGGAAGCGCCTGCCTCAGGTCTCCTCTCTCTGCACCCGGGCAGGGACTGCAGCCTTGGATACGCTCCTGCAGCGCGCGCCGAAGACTTGAACCTTCTGACCTGGAGGGCATGCTGCAAATCTCAAAGGCACGAGCCAGTGGGTATTTTAGGATGGCGGTGGGGACAGGGTACTGGTTTTGCTTGTGAGCCAAGCTTGTTGTGAGGGGAGTTTTAGTGCATCGGTATGTGGAGGTGGGAAGAGAGACATGCTGTTTTGACTTGTAATCAGCATTCTGCTGTTTCTTTAATTCATGGCATGACACTCAAAGCTTCAGACCAGATGCCTTTTCCATTAAAGTTCAGTTTGGACACATCAGTGAGGAACAGTCTTATGAGCAAAGAGACGCTGTCACCTATTTCACTGTCACCTAGAACAGCAGGCCTCTGAGGTGAGGGGGTGCTAGGCATGACCAGGACATGGCTGGAAGGGCACCATTTGTCAAAGAAAATCAATTGGTAGGTTTATTCCTGCACACAATTGCTACTGTTGTCAGATCCCATAAATCTCTGTATAAGATTTCTCAAAATGGCATCAACATAAATCTCTTTCTCTTCTCCCTGCACCTCCTCCATCTCTAGAGACAGGCATACACACACAGACATATTTGTGCCCATGCTACACCCTTAATATAGCCTAAACCGTAAACGGTAAGATAGGGTGCCCTGGTTTATTTTTTTAGGAATTTGCGTTGCTGCATTACATTACTGAAGAGAAGCTATGAGAACTGATAACCCCAAATGGGTTTCTAACGCTCCTTGGAATCTGTGTATGTCGTCTGTCAGAGGAAAAATACAGCTGAAAATTATGTTTCTCACTTAATCTCACTCTCTCTCTCTCAAACACAAACATACACATACCCACACATACTGAGTTGCTCTCAGCAGAAGGGTGACATACTAAAATTTACTAATTTAAACCACTCCTGGAGATGATCTAAAGCAGCCTTTCTATGCATAACTAATGGGCACCTATCAAGAGACAGCTATTTCAGTACCATGATGAGAGGCAATAAAAATAGCATTTTTTGGATGAAGGAAGTGTTCTACGTAGGAGCTGGGGTCTTCCCTGTCCAGCTCCCCTGAGTCTTTGACAAAGACAAATTAAATATGTGATTTATTCATGTTTTTCAATTCTGTTTTTAAAGGAATTGCATAATTGGGAATAAAGAAATGACCTCACTGAAGTCAAGGTAAGTGCTGTCATCGATTTCAACAAAACCAGGATATTCCCCCCAAAGGGGAGAAATTACCTGCTCATGTAAAGGGACACTTACCATATTGGGAAGTCTCATTTTTTGGCAAGTTAGCTCGAAGAATGAAGTTGTTCAAGCTGTTGAGATAGGCTGGAAGGCTGTGATAACCTTCGGGATTATACCACACCTGCACACAATTGAGAAATTGAAACAATTTAGGAGAGAAATTTTTACTGATAACATTTTGGTTTGTTCTGCTTGCACAAATGAATCATTCCATGGTTGTTATCTAAAGTCATAAGCTCTACAAGTTAAAGTCCAATGATTAAGCCACATCAAGTACCGAATGAGTACAAAAGCACATTTCACTTTCAGCACAAGCAGTCCCATCAGCTTCATTTGCCTTCTGGGAGAGAAGAAAGAAGCACTAGCTGGATATGTGACATAAAGCATACAGACACTTGTTTTCTTCTCTGTAATACGTTGCTCAGATCTGATTAACACCATCAGTGGAGACTTCCCAAAGAAGGCTAAGCAGTCAAATGTTAACACCCCTTGAAAGCCAGAGGGAAAAAGGTTGCTTTAGGGCAGAAAATAGCCAGTTGTCACCTTCTCATTCAGCAACAGCCCTTCCCTCCCCATGGTAACTTTTCTTACCTACACCATGATAAACCCTGAGAACTGAGAGGGAAAAAATCAGGTCACAGGACATGCACTTTGGGGGGACTACCATCATTTACTTTAGGCATAACCCACAGCACCCAGGTGGAGGTGTAAATTACCTACCAAAGGACAGAGAGCTTATGCTATTAAGGTTAGAGGCTTAAACGCACCCCACAGCATCCACCTTTGCATATCCCCAAGTCCTGTGTGCTCCGTGATTTCATTCTCCTTGCCCCAGCAGAGCAAGGACTGGGGTCTGCCCTGCTTCCAACACTATCAGGGTTTCCAGGTATTAAATCTGACATGTGATAAGCAAATAACAATGCTTTCAGATCTAAGTTGAAGCTGTAAGATTGGAGGGGTGAAAATATCTGCAAATTCATTACATGAACTCCGAGTGTTAGTGAAAAAATAAACCCTGTGGCTCCCTTTTATTGGAGCCACCTCTTAAAACAGCACTGCTCTTGCAGGAACACTCTCCTGGTAGCTAGGTTTTGCAATGAGATCACAGGATCTTGTCAACTGTCTTGCATTTCCCTGCTACCTCAGATTTCAGCCTTGGTGCTTTTAATGCTGATGCGTTACAACATTTTCACTGAGCAGAAGCAGAGAAACGGGTATCTCAGGATGTACCAGACAGCCCTAGTTAAGGTACATATGTTCTCTCATGAGATAAAGGTGCTACTAATTGATCTTTTTACCTCTGTATAATAAAATTATGACAGCAGAAAAATTGTCTCCTGCTAGCATGAGAAGTCAGACCAATAAAGAAGAATGGGGAGAGGAAAGGAAATGAACTGCAAGTCATCTCGCCCATGCCAAGCTGCAGATTTCAGAGGGTTTCACTTTATTTTCTGAAATATCCCTGAACTCGACATCACTTCTCCTGGATCGCACACTTCCCCTGCTAGGATGAGCAGATGGAGGTTAGTTACCTTAGTCAATGTTCTGTTGGGGGGCACTGGCCTGATATCGAACTGAAGATCTGTTGTCAAAGGCAGCCCGAAGCTCCAGCCACCATACCTGAGTGAAAACCAGAGGGAAATGCATTGCTACTGTCATTCAAAAGCTTTAATACCTTTGGTTGGTGCATGTTAGTGTGCCATTGTCACCCCAGTTAATTCTAGCTTGACTTAAACGAACTTATCCCAGTACGTAGTGTGTGGCCAAGCCAACACTGCTGCAGGAGCCCTTATCTGGGGGAAAAAGGGAAACAGAATCTTGGCAGCACTATCACAAAACTGTGCTGAAAACCCCCGCCTGGGAAACATTTTGGAGCCACAGGGACTCCTAACCCACTTGCCTACCACATTGGAATAAGTAGACCGCTTCTTACCCAGAAGATGAGCAGCTCAGTTTAAATCAATGGCAGATTAACATATTCCTTGACAACCTTAATGGCAGGCTATTTTTGCCCTAAGACATGCTGTGCAGCTGTGTTGCAGAGTCCAGACACGCTAATAGCTCTAACAGCCCCATGGTGCAAGAAAACGTTCAGCCTCTAATTTCACTGGAATGGATGCACTTGTTTAAGTGAAGCACACACTGAGACTTTTCAGAGAATCAAATCTGGAGGAAAGTCTGTCCCCAGGGTTTACTTCATGACAAGCTGTGTCAGATTTTCCTCTTTTTAAGCATTTCTGAGTCAGACAAAGGCTTGTCTGTGGATCCAGCCATCAGCCTATCAGATGATTGACAAGTTATCCCTAGGCTATCTCCACTATGATTAAGCGGAGCACTTGCACGAACCTGTATCTTTAACTCCATGATTGCAGGATGTTTTACCTCCTTTCACCAGATTCACAGAGACCATCAGCAGAGAGCCCTTCTAAACCCCTACTGCCCTGACACCTCTTCAAGCCCAGTGGATATGACATGTATAAGAGGCTGCTCCCAGTACAATTCAGAGGAGAAGAACTGGAGATTTATGCTGTACCGTTTTTGCAGGAAGTCTTTGGTAGTTGCCAGAATGTAGGTCTCCACATTGTGCCCTGTAAGGTTATAAATTGTCCGTGTGGAGAAGGTCCTTCTGTGAGGGGGAGTGTAGTTCGTCTGTGGACATGTCTGAGCAGAGACAAATGAACAAAAATGTTAGTGTCTGTGTTTTAACTAAAAACTAGCATATCAGGACAAGATTGAGAGTAGGCAATGGCAACGTTCTGGTCCTGGGACTGATTCCTACAGAAGCTGATAATTCACAAATCAGGATGCAAAGACACATGGCATACATCCCTGCACGCTCTCCTGAACATATTTAGCGAGGTGCTTAAAAACAACCTTTGCTTAAACCTACATTTCAGTTCTACTGACATCAGTGAGACCTTGAAATGTGCTTCATGCTACACAGGAAGATTTTTGCTGAATTAAGACTGATCCTACTTCGCAGAGCGTCAGAGTGACGGCACAGACAACAGCAGAGGGCAAAACAACTCATGGAGCAGAAAACTCCATGGTGGCCTCAAACTCTCATCTTGCATTTCACAGCAGCTACGCTCTACATTTTTGCTTTACTGTCAGTCATTCGGAATATTTTACAGAGCTTCAGAGAAACCTTGGATTACTCCTGAATATATAATTTAACATGCTGAGGGTCAAAATCACATTGACTGTTTCATAAGGTTGAAGTGTCCTACCAGACAGCATGCTGGCTGCTTCTTTCAGCTCATCCGTAACAAAAACCCTGGCCTCCCCCATTGTGTATCTGTTCATAACTTTGCATCAGAATACACAAAATAGCTTCCTTCATGCTGAGGAACACCTGCCTGTGCCTGCTAGAGGTGAGAATCAGCTTTGAACATTATCCTGACTTACCGGAGAAATGATGCCAATACTTTTAATGATGTGAAATTAAGTGTATATCCAGAAAACTCCATAAAATAGCTGCATTTTAAGGAATGACTAGGAACATTCAACTAAGTACTTGCTTTATCTTACAAACGGCATCACACTGCGCCATGAGTCTGATTTCCTACTGGAAAAAAGCTGAAGACAGGTGAACAGCACTGGAGGGAGGAGAGCTCAACTTCAAACTGGACTGTAAAATTGTAACATCATTGGGGCACAACCTGCCTTTTCCCCATGTGCATAAAAAGACACTAAGCCCAGCAGTGCCCATATCTGATTCTGTATGTACCACCGTAATGCAAATAACTGATGTTATTAATCATCACTATTTATAATACGAAGCAGAGTAAAAGCAGATGGATCTAGACTTTGCATAAAGTTAAATTCTGAAGCGCAAACAGCAGTAATAGCTGTGCTTTCATATAATGACAGTGCTTGTATAAAATGCAATTTTCCTTTTGAATACATGTTCACCTCAGCTAAATGGGACAATCATACAACATTGAAAAACACCGTTAAACCTTTTCCCACCACGGGGAGGAAGGCAGATATATTAGCATGCGCGTCTTCTGAGGATGCTCTTTCCTTTCCTGTCCCCAAACTGGTGCAGACAGTGGTTATCCAGTGTACAAAATCAACAAGGCTAAAAAGAGACAGAAGGAATCTGAACACTGAGTTCCCCTTAGTATCATGCCTGCCCACAAAACCACTTCCAACCTACAAGGCTCCCCAAATATCCCCCCCAAAACCTCCTCTCTTCTGAGTTTATTCAAATTACCTGGATGCCATCTGTGCAGTTGCAGGCAGAATACTTAGTTGTCTGGTTTCCACTGAAAATCCACTGGCCAAGCATGTCCTCCGTTAAACACTGCCTGAAAATGAACACATTTTCCTCTGAGGTTCTCTATGCTCAGGTGTGCAAACGATGCTAATTGCTGTCATGCTTAATGACAGCAAGGATGGCAGTGAGCAGCTTCAGCAGAAAAGCAGCTTCTTGTCAGCTCTGGGTGCTTCAGCGAAAACCCATCCTCATGCCACCTTCAGTGCCTCTCGGCAGAGAGCCCTCACTACCGCTCTCTGTGCCTGGATTCATTCAGCCGATTAGAAGGAATCCAGACACCGCTTCATTCCCACAATAGACAGTGTAAGGACTCAGCACGCAAAGGCAAAAATCATCTTACAGTGCAGAAATAAGGGCTATTGTCATTGCAATAACTGGGGAGTCCTGCAATGGACTGTATTGACTAGGCAGTCACTGTAAATACTCAGTATAAATATTTGCCTGCAGATAACGTGGCAGGCATGAGTATGCAAGTCTGCCAAGGGTTTTACTACCACTTCCTTGAAAATTTATCTGCAGACCCTGAAGCAAACCAGCTCTCACGGCACAACTTTTAGATACAGATGAAAGCTATGCAGAGAACTTTCTGGGTGGGCTCAGTGTTATAATTGGGATTATTGGGGAGGCAAGGACTACTTCCCAGACACGAGAATAGGTTGCTCTCGTCCTGGCATCCTGCCACCACCAAAGCTGCTCCCTTATTACTCATAGTAATAAAGAAGTCCACTTGTGGTGGTGAATACTTCTTGAGGCAAGCAAAGAACACCAGTGTCAAGGTCCTGGGACTGTGTGGTAGTCCCAGTCTCAGCCTTAAACCACAGTATGGTTTCCTGTCCTCAAGAATATCTACAGTTCTGCGCTGGCAGACACAAGCCTTCACTCCAAGCCGCATGGGAGCCACGTAGGCTCTCAGCAGGGCTGAGGTCTGCTTCACACCAATCATGACTACACAGCTCCCCGCTTGCATCCTGCCAGCTCAAGTCTGTGAGCAGCGCAAGCTTGCGCTTGCCTGCAAAAGGCCAGTTAGACATCTCCTAATGAGCTGAAACAGTTTGCAAGTCAATCTGAAGAAAGGCAGGAGATTTTTTTTTTCTCTGCATGTGGCACCAATGTATGAAAATTCTGCAGATGATCGAAGATGGTTATTAAGGTCTAATGGCTAATAGTGTTATGTCAATTCTCTCGCAGATTCGGAATGTAAATGGAAGAAAACCAAGAACTACTTACGAATTGCTTTCATTCATGCATGTGTTATCTGTTCCAGGGAAAGCAAGCATCGAAGCGACTAAAGCATCTGTGGTTTCATTAAAATTCCTAAGATTTAGCAAAAAAAAAAAAAAAGACAAAAGGACAAAATAAAAATGTTCAAGGTATTTCCACTACCACTGAGCAGAGGAAAACTATGTCTGAATGAAACAGGATTTATTTAAGATGCTAAATAAATGGTTATTTGTGGTGCTAGCTCTGCAAACCATCTAAGTATATGTAGTACATGTGGGCAGTCACACAGGTTTAAAAGGACTGCTTATTGCTTAGAGCTGCACACCTAACTCCAGTGATTTGCTGCCTCTAGATCTAAGCAAGGTACCGATGAACTTTTGGACAATCAAGATTCTGTTTCCAGGGAAAAAGCATCTACTGTAATTTTCAGGCACTACTCCCAGTCTTGTCTCAATCAGCTCTCTCATTTGTGAAGTCCATTTGTTTTTGGTCATTCAAGAAGATGCTTCTTGCTTCTGACCCAGCTTTCTAACAATGATCCATCAGGAGAAGCAGAGAACATTAGGAACAGAGGACTCAGACATGCAGTTCTGGCTCATTCCCCCATCTAGCAGTACTGAAGTGGAAAGGCATGAGCAGTCCTGGGAAAGAACACCTAAGAGCAGACATGCTTGCTTTAAAGCTAAATTTTATATTTCTGACTTAAAGCTGAGAACCACTAGAGAAAGACAGCAGTTCACATCATGAAATCAGAATAATACAAATTATAATCATTTTGGTAATCAGATTTTTAAGCACAATTAAATAATTCAATGATGATGTCTTAATCACACTGAAAAAGTACATGCCTTTCAAATGACTGTGTGCCTTGGACTAGTGGGGCCCGGGCAGGAAAGCATGTCCTGTACTGACAGAGAGGAGGGTGATGCAGACAGTTCACAAGATGGATAGAATTTGACCCCAGAGTTGTAATGTTGGAGACAACTGATGTGGGGACCTCCACTTCACATTGGGGGAGGAGTATTAAGAAAATCCCCTTGGGGCAGTATGGCTGTCACAGGGCTGGAGGACTCCAATGGCAAACACACAGAATACTCCTCACATTTCACAGTCAATTCCAGCTGAGAGGTTGTTTTTCTAAAGCTTTCTGATTGCTGGTCTAAGCCAAGCCATCTCCCCAAGAGACCCCTTAGGAACAGGATTTCTACATGTTATCTGCGTAACAGCTACACATATAACATAGCTACATATTATCTGCGTAACACTTTTCCACTGGGTCTGCTTAGAAATAATCCTGATTGTAAAACTGGCTCTTTAAAAAACAAATGGGTTTAAGGATCACAAAGAACACCACTCACCCAAAGAAGTCTGCCTGGTCGGACGTGCCGTACAGAGAGGGGGAAAGAATCAGTTCGGGATATTCAGTCTCCTTAGTTCTCAGTGTCCCAAGTCCCATTGCAGCCATCACAAAGAGGACCGGGAGGATGACTTGAGCAATGAAGCCCCTGACATCCCGCCGGGTATGGTGAAATCTCTTAGTGAACAAAGCTGATGTCTTCTTAAGCAGCAATGGCAAACCCTGCAGGCTTTTTGACCTAATCAGGAGCTGATCTGGGTGCAAAAGAAGAACGCATTTTGTCAGGGATCAGTATTTGTGAAATGCAGGGAATTGATGGTTATAGTACCCTGGGAGTGTATTTAGCTTCCTGCACTCCTTTACAGATGGCAAATCAAAACTACTAAGTTGGAACATATGCAAGGGTCAGGCTTGGGACAGGACTCAGATTTTGGCTCTTGAGTCATAAGCTCATCTAACACCACTTTTTTTGTTTAATTTCAAATGTATACATGTAGTGAATTCATTTTGAGATCTTGCAAGAGGAACACAGGCTTCCAGATGCAACAAGTTATCTATATCCTACCTACCCAGCGGCAACTTACAGGGGAAACATTATTCTTCTATATTTGCAAACTGAAAATTTTCATAATTTAGAAAGCAGGTCCTCAGACAAATCAATAAGGGAATTAATCCTGAAATAAGAAAACAAGGCATATAAACCAGTTGATCTTTTGCATGGACAGGGTTGTGGTATACTAAAAGCAGAGCCAAATCCTGTGCAACCTATTCCTCTTTATGAAATATTAACCTATATAATACATGAAGCAAATCCTTTTCAGTGCTCTCATTAAGGGTGACACAAAACACTTCTCTGCACATATGAGTTACTGTTTACAGTAACATTTACAGTGCAGGTCAGCTTTGAGAAGCGAGTACGAAAATACCTCTGCATTGTCCCTTGGACGCCTCCTTAACTATAAATGGTATATTTATAAGTACAAAAAAATATTTCTGCTCTGAGAAAGCATTTCAACCAGGTATTTGCTCATTTTTGGGCCATGCCAGTTTTTGCAGCTTTCAAACCCTAAGAGGTACTGGTATAGCTTGATTCTTTTCTGAACATGAATTTATCCCACTGTCTGGCCCTTTAAGCTATTTGTTTTACCATACTGCAACGACCAGGACACCGCAAAAAACGGCAAGGAGGACCCAGCTCAGAGCTGTGCTGCTTTTGCAATAGGCTAAGGGGTTTCCACAAAGTTTCTCTCCAATTCTAGTAGTTATGTACACCAATTACAGCAATTACTTTCAGAAGTATACATTTGCTCTTTCACCCACACATTGTATTTGATTAGATTAAAACCTGGATCAATTTAAAGGAAGGCGGATGCAAACAAAACCCCTCTGCAATTTATTCTGTGATTCAGACTATTCCAAACCAGTGGATCTAAACTGTTGAGTGCTGTCCTTCTAGTGATTTATTGTTTTTGTGATTCCTGGTTGGGTGAAATGCGGTTTTCAACAAAGAAAGAAGATGGGGAGCTCAGATCAGTCCATCTGTCACTGTTTGCATCTGCCACAAATCTGGAATGAAACCTGGACATAATTTAGTACCATCTCTTTCTGTGAAGGTATCCGTGCTCATAGACATTTCGTCACTGCCAATTTGACCACTGGCTCCAGGCAGCTGTTGGGGCAGTTCAGCATCTTCTTGCTGGTCCTTCACTAGCTCTTTTGTCAGATTGAGAAACACCTATGGAGCAAGAAAATATAAAGGAACATTGTTCCAAATTTCTTCATTTAACAAAACAACAATCAGAATCCACTCTCGTACTTTGTAGCTGTAGTTGGTGCAGCAATTGTGAGTTACAATCCTCTTTCTGTTCCCTTTGCGCTCTGCGAGAGAAATGAACTTTTTTCAGTATAAAATTGTTGTTGTCCAGCTCCTTGTCACCTCTTGTCTCTCTCCTGCTGCAGCAGTAGAAACTTAAACCTTTGCACCCTGGACTTACCTTGTCCTAATACCACCGGCTACATGACTACTGAGTAGATGTAAACGAAGCTGCATTTCAGCTCAGGCCCTACATAACTCTACTCCCTCCACACCCACACAGCGAGCAGCGCACAAACGGCTCTCTCTGTGGGTCACCAATGAAGAAAGAAGGAGGGCTGTTTCCCTGGGATATTTTCCCCTCTAGCCTCTGACAATCCCAGCTGCCTCCATGCTGGGAGTGTGCACAGTTGTGGCACCCAAGCTGCATGTTGTACATGCTGTATAACTCATTCTTGCTGTCTTAGGAAAACACCTTAAAAGGAAGCAAGAATTTCTGAGCAGAAGGGTAACAATCTCCTTCCCTCCTTTCTGCAAGACAGTGCTCATCATTTCAAGTTACTTTTTGTTTCTGATGCAACTAAATGTTTGTGTTTATTTGACCAGAGATTTCCCACGGGCAGAAAGGTGCCTGTGTTAGTCCAGCATGCACCCGGTGACTCATTTGTACAATACAGCATCCATGTTGAAGTTTATCACTTAGATGGTTTGCTAACTCCCTCCCTTCTGACTGCATCTGTAGACAAACCCAGATTCGTGGAGTCCAGGAGAATAGTTCAAAGAGAAACACATCACTGCCCTCTCTCCTTAGTCTAATTCCAGCACCTCATTTTCTGGGTAAAATGCCAAAAAGCTGTTAGCAAGGTGAGACAGTGGTACACTTTGTGCATTAGTATATGTATAGATTTATGACTACGTCTACACACTCACATGTTCGTAAGTGTAACACAGCGAACAACCAAACCACTTCTTCCCCTGCCTGCAACTCTCACATTGAAAAAATGCCACCTTCTAGCCCAGAAAGCAGAGCTACACAGTGCTGTAAAGTTAATCTCCATAACATTTCATTAAATAGAGCAGATCCTGAGCTCATACCTCTTCCACAGTTGTGTTTGAAATCCCATAATCTCCATAACATTTCATTAAATAGAGCGGATCCTGAGCTCATACCTCTTCCACAGTCGTGTTTGAAATCCCGTAGCAACCAAGGTGGAGATCACTCAAGCTGGTATCGAGGGCTCTGAGAAGTGCTTGGTAGGCCCCTGAGACTGTGGACTTGAAGGGGGGAAGCACGTACACGAGCTCTCCACCAATATCCTCCTTGAGATAAGCCTCCGGGAGGTGGGACTGGATCAAGGAGGTCACTGCTGTGGTGTCACACTCCTCTATCATGTTCTGAAAAAGGAAGATAACACTGTGGTCACTGAGGGCTGCAAGGTCAAACTTCCTACCACACGATTTAGCCCAAATCCTGTCCCATAGAATAATCAGTAGGTGATCTCAGTCCACGGATGCAACATTTCAGTTTAAATTCCATAAGGAGATGAAAGTGGGTTTCTGGCCCTTGAAGAAGAGGGGGTGTGTGCCCATCTTGGTCCATCCAAGACCTCGCTGGGCTCCCTCTGTCTACAGGGATACTGGGAGTGGGCTGAATTGACCACTTTGCACTAGCTAGAGGGTTTGTAGTACAACAGAGGAAAAGCCTAACCACAAGAGAGCTGACACCTGAACTCGTCTGCCAGCAAAAATACACTCTTTTCCCGTGAAAAACAGGGCTTGCACATGGGTCTTTTTTAATTTTCTCTATCTATACTGCCAGCAATTTGGAAGAGGGGCTGCTCTCTTATGGTATCTGCACGTTATTCTCTGTGCTGGGGCTATGAACAGCCCTGTAATAAATGCTATCAAGAGCAGAGTTCCCCCCCTCCTTGCAAGCAGAACATTTTGCCTCAGGCCAGATACTGTCGATGGACTCTTCCCATCTGCTTTATTTCTCTGAACTTCAGAATTCACACACTCTGCACCCAGCCTTGCCTTTAACCCTCAAGGAGACGTTGTTCTTTTTCAACAAAGCAGGGCACTGACATTCCTCTTTTCCTAGGGCCACAGAGGCTGGTCTGGTGGCCCCGCTGGAGAGCCTCCCTCTGCTTCAAGGGAAGTGGAGGCCACACATTCTGTTAGCATCTCTCACCGAGAAGCAGTGTGCTCACATCCAGATCCTCAATAGTTCTTTGGTACCACTACCGTCCTTGGATCTGTCGCTCAGCTCCTGCCGATATAGCCATAAGTGCCTGCATCCCTGAACAAGCCTTGATGGTCCCCCTCAGAGTTGAAGCTGCTGAGAGCTCTAGCTCAGCTCCATGCAGGCTCGCAAACAGGAGAATCTCTGCCTCTGCTCCCAGCAGTGCCTGCTGCGGTGACTGTGCTCATGAGACAGGAAAGGGAGCTAAGGCCCAGCGGGGAAGGCAGGATAAAAAGGACTGCATCATGCACCTGGGATACAGGAGGCTCAAGTTCAGACTTCTGCCTTGTCTATTAATGCTGCAAGGCTTTGTGTAGAGGGGCTGAAGCTAACACTCCTGTGTTTTGGGGAACTCTCCACACAGGCTGTCTCTCTGAAGGAAACTTATTTATAAAAAAAGCATGTGAATTCCAGCATGGGACAGGCAGAGCGAGCCAGAGAGTAGAGTGCACTGTAACCCAGGTATGTCACTGGTTGGGGCACATGAAAAAAATATCTTACTGGCAGCCTAAGGAAACAGTCCAGCATATTCTTGAGCCTGTGTGGCCAAACCCAAGGGTTTCAACCCAAAATACATCCCACTTTCACCCGGGCATAAAGTGGACGCATAAAGAAGTGAAAATTTCACCTTCCATGACAGTGAAATTATACTGGAACAATCATTCCACTGCAGATATCTAAGACTGAGATGAACCTTCTGCAGCCTGCTTCATTTCTGTGGGACACTATGACATGCCTCCTTCCTTCCTGTCATACGACTAACTGAGTTTCCCACCCAAGATGCTGAAAATTTAGGACCAACTCAGACACAAACCTTCTTTTTTGTGAGTGTCAGGTGGTATCCATCACCAAATGTTTCCTTGAGGTAGAATGGCGAACCACAACATTTGAGCCCTCCATGCTCTAGGAAGGCGATTCGGTCACTCAGAACTTCTGCTTCATCCAAGTGATGTGTTGAGAGAATGATGGTTCTGCCTGGAAAACACAAAGCTGATGTCAGCCACCAGAGAATAAACACATGTGATTACATGAGACAGGTGAAAGCTATGCTGAATGAGGGAACAGAGTATCAGGTGAAAATCGACCGCGCTTCTTTGGAATTAGTGAAACTGGATGAAAGGCAGCATTAGAGAGAAGCTGAAAGTTACTGTATTGTAAATTGTGTATTATGGTAAAGTTACTTTTCAAATGACACTGTGAATTTACAAAAAACAACCAGGATGCACCCAGAGGGCCTGCAAAATCCCAGTCTCCCGCAATTCGTTCTCTGTGGTCTCCAAAACCCACAGTTCAAAGCCACTCATACCATATTTTCAAAAGTGACACGAATCACCTTTGCCACCGGGCAGCATCTTGTCTCATCACAGTACCTTTTTTATTCTTGGAGATAATTTCCCAAATACTTCTGCGAGAGCATGGATCCACCCCTGTGGTTGGTTCGTCTAGTATTACCACCCTCGATCCACCCAGGAGAGCAATAGCTATAGATAACTTCCTCTTCATCCCCCCAGACAGGGAGCCAGCTAGCTTGTGACGATGGCTGTACAGTCCAGTCTCCTTCAAAGTCCTTGAAAATAAAGAAAAAACAACCCCCAAACGTTGTCCTTCAGGCATCTTTTAAAAGCAGGGAATCTGAAAATACCCAAAAAAACATAACTGCAAATGAAAAACTGCTCAAGTATGGACTGCTCTACTGAATGGTCACAGTGCAGGGAGATGATTCACCCTACAGCTCAGTCACTGGGATTTTAATTTAAAACATTTTTTTAGGATGTTTTCAAAGTTTCCATCTGACAAGTCAAGGTTAAAGGCTCAACCTCATCAACTGAGAACACCAAGATCCAAACTCCCTGGGATGTTCTGGCTGCTTCACTTCTCCGCAGAACCAATAAAGCCGACATCATCTTTCTGACTGGTTGATTAAATCTCTTTCTGGGGAAAATTGTAAAGCAGCAAGGACTAGACCCTTAGGCCTATAAATTCATCTCCAAGGAATAGCCACAGAAGTTTGTAAATTCCCTGGAGAAGAGACGTTATTTTCTTACAGCCACAGATATCAACACTCCATATATTCCTCTAGTCAGACCAAGGCATTATTTGAACTCTAAGCAGGGTCTGCAACAGTCCTCAAAACCATTCGAGCTTTGCAGTGGCAACGGCACTACCACACAATAATTTTGACAGCCCTCTCTCCCTTCTCCAACCCTGCTATTTTTATACCTCTTCACTTCTTGGTAGAGCTCCTGTTTACTCCAGTGAGGGACTTTGATGTACCCATAGAGCAGCAGGTGTTCCTTTGTGGTGAGGTAGTTAAAAAGCACGTTGTGCTGCATACACACACCCATGTTCTTCCTGATAACCTCCTGGTCAGTCCTGATGTCTTTGCCATACACAAAGATAGTACCTGATGAGGTAGGGAACAACCCAGTCAAAATAGATCTGAAAGGAAAAATAAATAGAAAAGGAAGTTAGAAAAAGGAGAAAGCCATAGGTAATTTTTTCACATGGTCCTGTACCTATCATCACTTTCAAAGTTTCCTTACATCACCATCACACTTCTTCCAGCCAGAGACCACTAACCACTGCTTCTTCTGCTATCTGACCATGCTTTGGCAGAGTGGTGGCCAATTAACATCAAAGGACATACTCGTACCCCTCTGTGGGAATGCGAGGGCAAGTACCAAGCTCACACACTGAACTCTGGCTCCTTTTCACATGTACTTTTATCTTCTTCAGCCTTCCCCTCCCTAAGTCAGAACCATTGCATATCCCATACATCAATACTCATGAATGCTGTCGGGCTTCAGATTTAATCACTAGGAATTCATATAATGCAGTTACTCTTCATTCTTTGAGGTCTGTCTGCAGTATCCAGACAGCCTCATATCACTAACCGCAACAGAGATTGAAAACCACATCTTCATCTTACTAACCACATCAGAGCATGGAGACCTGATTTCACTGCCATTATTAACAAGAAATGGGGGAGGACTTCCAGACAAGACACCTCACAGTGGGCAGCACTTTCATCTAGTTTAAGCAAATAATTACCTACCTAGAAATACCTAACACCTTGACCTGAGTCAAACACCCTCTGCTCAGAATAACTACTTGCACAATACAGGTCATTTTTGGTGCTGTCCTACAGGGACTAAAGGGACAAGATGCGTCTCAGACTGCCCTTCACCTCCCCAGAGATTCTCTCTCTCCTGGAACTTTTAACCATCATTAAAAAGGAAAGAAGTAACTTGTGACCCTACTCGGGATTTGAAGCCTGCACTGAGTTTCATGGAGCCATTATACTTTTCTGTATATCACCTTTGCCTACACTTTGCAAAGAGGATATGAGATGAATTGATAATAAGGTGAGATGAAGCACACATCTGCCTTATTGTTTCTGGCTCTTCTGAGGCTTCTATTTATCAGCTTAATGTTGCTTTCAGAGTGATGCACATATATATCAGTGGAGAAATCAAGTTCTACAGGTCTGTTTTAGTGCTGTTATCTAACAACTTGAATAATAATTTATAAATGGCAAGGCTGGAAGGTCTGAAAGGCCGATGTATTAACCCACTGTCATTCCAGACCAGCCAACACATGAGTTTGTACGGCTGAAATATAACTTTATTAAGCTTTCTTGCTAATATCACTTCAGCTTTGGTGCGTGCACAAGCTACCCACAGCTTTCAGAACAACCTAACCCCAGGCACCATAATATCATGGAACAAAATGCTAGAACAGCTGCTGTGCTGTGTATTACAGGTACCCTACCAGATTAAAAAGCATGTTCCTAAGCAGAAAAGAACCTTTAATTCTAATAGATGAAGAGACTGCTGAGGTCATCCATGAGCAAGATAAAACTACAAGAGAGATTTGGCCTAATAAAGCATCTTATTCAGTCTCCCAACCCTGCACAGTGCCACTTGCTCTCTTGTTCACCCAATCATATCCCACACTATATAAAAAGCAGCTTTAAAGGATACGCACATGGTTGTAGTTTTCCCGGCTCCATTGTGTCCCAGCAGGGAAGTGATATTCCCTTCATAGAAGTTGAGGCTGAGGTTGTCCACTGCAGCTTTGGATCCATAGACCTTTGTTATGCCATGGAGGGAGACTCCCAAGGTAAGATCAGTGGGTTCCGGTTCCAGGTGAGGAGGAGGGGCACCTTTGACACCAAAGGGAAGGGTCAGAGGACAGTTACTGCACTGCAGCAAGTGTTTGTGCTACTTTTTTCACCTCAGAGATAAGCAGGGCTTTTAAAAACAAAATACAGCAAAAGTAGGTGCCTTTCAGCTAGGAATGTAGAGAACATTTCACAGGATCTGTATCATTTTGGGCTCTCTGCGATTTCTCCTTTTTACTTCTGCAGCTTCTAATAACTCCTGACAATAAGCATTAATCACTTTTGAAAAGGTCTCATATTTAGATGTTTTGGAGCACCTAACTTAAGTTATACTAAGCAAGCACAGAAAATTAGAGGACGTACAGCAAAACTACTGAGTTATTTTCAGTTAGGTAGAATCAGCAAGCTTTTATGTGTGATTTCACAGTATTTTACAGGCTAAATAATTAAAGAGATGAATAAAGAAGCACACATCCCTTTTGCCAAGTGGAAACCTCTATTTGCTTGCACAAACAAAAGTGTATTTCTACATAGAGCATTGTAGAGTGAGATATATGCATCTAAGGTAACTGCCCAACTACAACATACACAAATATGTATGTGAATATCAGTACTGGATTTCCACATCGAATAGAAAGAACGAGCATAATTTAAAAGCCAAACCTCTATTCAGGTAAGTAACAGCTTCCAATTTTTCTTGTGATACAAAGTAAGGATCAATACAGAAATGTGCTTTCTGAGTATGGTGCCCCTTTATAAATTTGGCTTCCTTTACCTAAAACGTAAGTTAGTATGGCTACCTCGTCTAGCATTCACATACATATCTTGTTGTTGAGGGTGGCTTCTTTCCTTAACATCAGCTTGGTGAAGAGAAGGCCTTTTCGTTTCTCGTTCCAGAAGGGGAGGTAACTGTTGTATTCGACCCAGTAAGATGGAAGCAATGGGAAATACCAGGGAGCAGCCATGCCGTATCTACCTGCAAGGAGAAGAGGAATCTCATTCAGGTATCTGTTTCTGTAGGAAGTATCACTATTGGTGTGCACTCAAAATAGCAAAAATAAACTCCACAGATATCTGTCCCCTCTTGATGTGCTCATGTACTACGGATACTTGGTAGAGAATTTGCCCAATTGACACAGTAGGAAGCATCTGCTAATTTGTTATTCTGAGTAACTTCATAGCTGGAGGGCAGGAGTACTTTACATTTTCCACTGAGTAGATCTCCGTATGCCAGTGGACTGCTTCATTAGGTGAGGAAGAAAAGCAAAAGACAAATGTACTGGCTCTTGCCCAAGGCAGGAATTACTTTTTGAAATCAAATAATGTAAGTAACGCAACACAAAATCACTCAACTGACAAATGCAGGCTAACATGCTCTGTTCTCATTTTCACCGAGCTGACCAGAAACACATCCTCCCACGTCCTTGGCTTCAGCTTCTTCAGGAGACCCACCTACCCATGTGGTAAGCAGAGGAACCCTAATTCTCCCTTGTTCTGCTCTCAGTTTCATTAATACTCTCAGACATCCACAAAGTCATGCTCCCCTTGATCTAGAAACAGGGGTAACCTGTGTGTGCAGACTGTCTTACTGCCTGAACAATGGAATCAGCCAGTGTTGTATTCATTGTTTTCCAAAAGAGATGGTACAGCACCAGTCTCAATGCTTTGTATCCTTACCTGGGAAAACATTCCTTATATACCATCCCAGGATGAAGTAAATGAAAGAGTCTATCAGAATGAGCCAGCACATCCAGCCAAATGAAGTGTTGTCGCCAATCATTGGGGACTTATACATGTTGTCCCACTGCAGACCTGCAGAAAGGAATTTAGAAATACAAACAGAATCCATATTAGTTAATGAAATGTCACAACCATGGGAGCTCAAAGCCTAGTTTTGTCTAGAAAGCCTAGTTTTGTCTACAATAAACATACCTATGCCCTGTGCCTCATATCGAGCAATGTATTGACTTGCATAACTGAATGCAGTTGGAGACAACAGACTCTGTGGAATAAGCAAAACGGAAAACAAAGAACTTATGAATTAGTCTCAAAGAGAAATCAAGTCAGTCAACCAATCAGGTACTTCATTGGCTTGGTCCAGTAGCCAGAAAAATGAGTGGGGTTTTTTTTTTTCCCAACAGTCCCAAAGAGCACTGGACCAGCCTTACGATGGGCAGTGCTTCTGGTGATAGGCTGTAATGTCTCCTTACAGCCTGCCTTCCTTTTGCTTCCACACCCAGGACCCATCTTCCTCCCTCATACAAGGCTTTATTTTAGGCTTTTGAAATACAGCAGTGCTTGAGAATTACCTGCCATGTGGTTAATAATTTTACCACTTGCATCAATAGATGTCCTTTCCTGAATTTAGTGACTCAAAGAAAACAAGTCTGGCTACTAGAACCTAATACCTACTTATTTCTACCCTTGGTAAGAAACAAGGCTTTACGTCTATTTCCATGGCTAGGAATTTGAGATACATGAAGCTAAAGGATGAGCAGAGCCAGCAATGAGCAGAGCCAGCCCTCCTTCACAGCCCTGCTACCTAAACTCTTTACTGAGACAGCCTCATTTTTCACAGTGGTTGAAAGTAACCCATTTTGCTTTGCAATTCGAAAGGGCAAAGTACATAACTCAAACTACTCTGATGCAGCTGGTAGGTGGGAACTCAATAAAATTCCACAAGTATTGCTTTCAGTCATGTGATGCAACTAATACCAGCTCTCCCCCAAACAGGCCATGGCCAACTCTCCTGTCATGCTGTTGTACCCGTCAACACCCACTGACAGAATTTAGAAAGGCACCCAACTCACGTATATTTGTGACACAAGCCATAATAAGAGCTGCAGTTTATTGAAAGTGAGTGTCTGCTTCCACACACATGGTCCCTGTTACTGAAAAGCAGAACTTACCAGTAGGCTCTTCACAGAGAAGCTCAAATGATTCTCGATGACGAGCAACACGATGAAGGGGAAGAAGGTGAGGATGTACACGAGACTGCCCACCAAGGCCGCTATGTTGGTGTTATTGAAGAAAACACTGATGAAATAGCTCATGGCTATGATGGACAGGCTGTAGTCCATAAGGTACACAAACAGGAGAGCTGTGTTTGTTTTGGGAAGGATGTCACCCACTTTTAGAACAATGATGAGGAAGGTGACAGTAATTAGAAGGAAGATGGCGCACTCTATGAACCAGGCGATGAAATGGCTGCTGGCATTAACACCCATCATTTTCATGTACTACAGAGAGAAAGGTGAAAAAAAGAATCACAAATGACAACTGTTTGTTAAGAGATCTTTCTGCTGATATTGAACTGTTTCTTTTTTCAGTTTCTGGACAGGGCATACAACCAAAACATGTTCTTTCATACTTTGGCATACTGCATGTTGATAACCAGGGAGAAACGATGCACTCGCATTTCTGGAATGCCCTAGGTTTGCAAAGCAGTCTATTGCAAAAGAACAGTATAGACAGGAACTGCAAGTAAGAAGCGTCACAGCCCGTAAGCTCCAAAACAACTTCTGGCCTTAGATTTGTAACTTTTCTAAAGCATTTTGGTTATTTTTTAAAATAATGCTAATTGATCCAGTGGCTTGAGTGTAAAAGCTCTTAAGTATCTTTGAAACCAAACCATTTCTCACACACCCCCAAGACAACAAATAATAGCTAAATTACCATGGTTATAAGGAAGCAATATGAATTTATATTGGCTGATGATCAAGTCCACACGACTTGTATAAAACTGTAAATTTGTACTTATAAATCCAAAAGAAACTACAGGTGCTGGTGTCTTGTTGTAGATTATTACACACCTAAAAAGATTACTGACACCCTGGTATTTAGAGACAGTGAAACTGGGTTCCCTAAACTGGAGTAAGGCGCTGTCAGCTAGCCACTGGGGTTCATCCATTTTCAATCTCATCACAGTTCACAGAGTGCCCTTTCTCGGAAATGTTTTTGGTGAATCAGTATTTGTTTCCATGGTACCGGATAAAAACCAAATCTGCTTGAGCTTTTGTTGCTTGCTGAAGCTTAGTTTTACAAAAGTTCTTTGCTGCTCATCTCTGTTGACTGTGTTCACACTGAAAACCTGAGTTAATTTAATAAATACACTATGTCTCGATGTCATTTCTTTTCCAATAGGTAACCTGAATGAAGAACTTCATTTCAGAGGAGCTGATGTAATATGTAGCACCTTCTGAAATATTAAGTATAATAACTTCAGGGATAGGAAATAAGTAACTTTTCACGTCTATGTCCCCAATAGGTATGACTCAAAGCCAATTTTTAGAGAGCTTTAAATCTTCAGAAATCTTGTAATTTTGTGAGGTCCTCATGTTTCCAGTGTTCAGAACTGCAAAGCAATATTCTCACCACTTGAAGGGCAAATGCTCTGCATTTCTATGGTTTTGAGCTTGGTTACAATGTCAGAATTCAAACACTTCAGGTCAAACAATAGGTATTTGGAATATTATTTTCCTTAATGCTTGTTTTGCTCCATTTAGTATTGCACATGAGACATACTACCCACTAATCAGGAAAATCTGTTTATAATTTTGCATGCCCCAGAAAGTTTTACCGTACCTCATAAAGCCTCAGATCTTTCTCTTGAACAAGTGTTTTAACAAAATCAGCTATAAACAGCACCCAGGCAGCCATCAGAGCAAATGGAAGAGAGTAGGTCACGCTGGTTAAGAACCTGTAAAAGGCAAATGCAGGCTTTAGCTGAATATGAAATGTTCTGGGGATTAAGGCTTTACACAGAATATATTTTTCAGAATAATACTTTGGTACTGGAAAGACATGCTTGTATTTCAAAACGTGGAGTATAATTAATAATTACAAAAAAGGCTATTTTGCCATTGCATCGGATTTTCTGTTCATGAAACTGCTGACTCTTCAAAATTTTTTTCAATTTTTAAATTACAGAGGGTTTTCCGGATGCATTCTGGAAGTTTTGCTTGGCAGCACCACTGGCAGGAGCAGAAACTGCCATGGGCAGTGGCATCTCCTGGCTCTCTGATGGGGTGCATCCCATTCTGAAACATCACAGCAGCCAGCCATAATTCCCAGTTCTGTTAATAGATATAATGGCCATAATCAGGCCATATTTCCTGGTGCTGGAGTTTCGACATAGGTGCTTCCCCTCAGAGTGTCTGTCCTATCACCCCATGGGACAGGTATTGCGGATCCAGGTCTACAATGTGGGCTTCACAATTCTTGGCTCCTCACTTTATTTAAAACCTTCTTCCTGTGCCAAATGTGCGCAGAAAAAAGACAACAATGGCCAACAGTAAATTTCTCCTTTTGTGATGGAAAGTAAGTTTTTATAGCAGGAGATTCACTTCATTGTATCTACAGGGCTTATGCTTTCCTCCCTCATTTCTAAACCTGGCTTAAAAAAAAAAAAATCAGTGTTATTCCTGGGAAAAGTTTAATGTACAATAATAGTAAGAAATTAATATGATTACATTTGGTTTTAAATTTTTTTACCTGTAAAGCTGAAAATTTCCCATAAACCAGCGCTTTCAGGAAATGCTTCCACACAAATGAAGCCATATTTATAAAGAACAATGAAAAGGCATTTCAGCAGCTCTACTAGTTCTTTGCTGTTTGGGGTTTTTTTGGCTACCACCTTGTACATGATCTCTAGGCTATTAAAAATTCAGCATTTCCCAACACCTTCTGTGTACTAGTATATATATTTTTTTTAGGATGGTAACTATATGATAACAATCGATAAACAGTCATTTTATGATAACTTCTACTGGACGCAAATCCAAAGCCTTTAGGTATTTTAATAACTGAGCAAACTCATGTCCCTCTGAACCTGGGGTGGGGAGGGAAACCCGAACGCAAGCTCTTCTCTCAGCAGCCCAAGAACAAGAAAAGGAGCAGACAGCACTGTCATAAATGCCTCCAGCAGCCAGGTAATCATTGTACAAAACTATCAGCAATAATCCATGTATTTGCTGCAAGACGTTGACGCTTGGTTTGAATGCTTACTGCCTGCATACTTGCAGGCACTTTGCATGCTGTTACCTTGAAAAGAGATTACAGGTCCCCAACTGTCTTAAGTGACAGGCTGACACAAGAGGTTAATGGGTCTGCTATAGCTCCTATAGCTATAGCTCCCAGATAACCTGTTAGCTCATGCAGTAGACACGCAGGCTTTTCAATAGATAGAGTTCTAAAGTCTAGTCTGTACTTTTAGTCCAAGGGAGACCCTCATGTCAGGGTGGAGTGACCATCCAACCTACCAATACTATTCGTTGAACATCTTTCAGTGTTTTCTGATGGACATGAAATCCCTTCCCTGTGTGTTTTCCACACAGTTTGGCCACCAGCTGTGGTCACGGTAATAACTCTGAGGAAGTACCATGTTGCCAGCTTTCCAACGCAGACCAAAATTGTCTTGCCAGAGGGGCAGGTCCTCAGCTGTGAGAGATTCGCTTCTCTCTATTGCGTTTGGCAGAGATGCAGTTTATACTAGCTGCAGATCTGGCTCAAGATGAGTGGAAAGGAAAATGATCCAAAACTTTTTGATCTGCTTCACCATTCAAAACTTATCCTGGTCCACACACAGTTCACGCTGCACTGCCCTGTATAACAGCCTGTTAACCCTGGCAACTCAGCACATCAAAAGCTTCTCTGTCCTCCCTCATTACTGCAGAGATGAATGGTACAATTTCATCTTCCCTCTTATCCTTCTTAAATCTAAGAGGCACCTGTATTGAGAACTATTCACTACACACTGAACGTTAGCTAGAATCACTGCAATGAATAACATATACCACAGCTGGATAGCAACCTCTAGGAACAAAGCTCATAAACCTAGGGAGTCTTTTTTTGCCCCATACATACATTTTCTAAGTTTTGCTGCATTGTCTGCATGTAAACACCTGCAGAATAAGCCAACACTCATATTTAACCCAAGTCCTGCCAACCCCAGTCTCAGTTCCACCATGTGTAGTAAAACAGGGACAGCAAATTTTACTTGCTGTAAAACCTATAGTTACCATGACAATTCAGGTACATACAGAGCACCGAAAACAAAAGATTAGGTAAACTAAACATAGACCATTTATACTAGAGTCCAAAATTCTCTCTTTTGTTCAGACCCTTGGGGAAAAAAAAACCAACAAACACAAAATGAAGTTACTTCTGTGCCATGTGAACATGGTATTAAGACCAGCGCAGTCCATGAACTCCACTAGTCAGACAAGATGAGCTTACATAAAGCATGAAGACAAAAGCCACACAAACTTACATATCCTTGTTGTAGCAGGGGTAAGGCATGGCCTGGACTTGAACAGCTATTTCCTCTGGCTTCTTGCCAGTCTGTAACTCAATAATGGCTCTTTCAATGCTGTCCTGGATATAAATAAACGCCCGGCTGTAAATCTGGCTCTGCGAGGTGGAATTGTGCGGGCCCACTGTCCAGATGCGCTCCCTTATTCTGTTGGTGGTTTGCGTGATCCTGCTGCTCATTCGGATGGTGTAGTTGAGCACAGGAGGGAGGGCCAAGTCCCCGTGAACTGAGCGTCCAGGGCTGCTATGGCTTGAAGGCAGCTTGAAAATGACACCTTGGAAAAGAAAGGGAAAAGGCTTTCCTTCAGAGTCGACAGCACGGGAGCAGTACACACAGATACGTAGGAACTTGTCATTTTTATAAGCCTTTTCTACATTACAATCCATCATTTCATTTCTTTGCTGCACAAATAATGCTCAGATGGGTAGGCTGCTTATGGAGGGTCTAGAAGTGGAAACTATACATCACTGCAGCTACTCGTACTTTCAAATGTGACCAGTGATTCTGGGTGTGAAATACACCCCCAGAGCCTTTATATTTTTTCCCACTGAGCATTCAAAAATCAAAGGCTCTTAAAATATCCAGCTGTATTTGGAAAAATCTTGCTGTTAACATGGACTGTCACATATCTGTTAGGTGTGTCACTCAGCACACACACCTCTCATGAACGTGGCCAGAGGTACTCTATCAATAGAGCTCACATAGCGATGCTGTAACATAAAAACCTCCGGAATGCGGTGTTGAAAATTGTTCATGACCTATACACATATTTTTGTGCCCACACAAATTCCTTCAAAGCTGAGATGTCGAAGAATATAAAAGCTTTGCAAGTCCTGTTAGGAAATGACATGCTGTAGATACAGTTTGATAGACAGGACTTTTTTTCCTTTAAAATGTCTGTTTGAGTAGAGCCAATACCACAGATGTTTTTCTCTCCAGAATGTTTTTCTTGATTATTCCATATATAAAGCATACGATAGAATGGAGGACAAACAGGGAAGAAAACTGCTTTTATGAGAATAGACAAATATTATCAGGGTCAGAAGTTCCAAGAAAAGAAAAGATTTCTATCTACCCCTAAATTATGAGGTATAAAACCAAACAGGTCACAGGACTTACCAATAAATCCTAATTGAGGAGATATTGGGCATTCTTTAAAAATTAAGACACATTTGTATCATTCAAATTAATATAAGTTCCTATTCTCTACTCCCCCCTGCCCCTCTCTGCGGTCTGATCTGAAGCTGCAATCCGATCCCACAAATGTGAAAAGTGTGTCTGAGAAGACCCAACACAATATTGCAGTGCTTGGCTGGAAGGTCTCAAGAGCTTTATGACCTTCTAATAATTTGAAGTGTCTCATATCTTTCTCGATTAAAGCATCTTTTCCCGTGGGGGCCTGAAAGAAGGCAGCTGTTGTGAAGATCTCCTAAGGGCAGTGAAATTTCGTTCAAACTGAGAATTAATCAAGAGAAAACACCAGCTGACCAAAGGCCTTCTGTACAGACAGTGGAGGTGTAAGAGAAGTGGAGGTATAAAAAGGAGAGTGTAAAACACTGCCATAAGGAGGTTTCAGTGTGCAGGTCCCATACACACTGGCTCAAAATCAATTGCTGTGCGTGGGAGCTGTGACCACAACAATTGCTGGTTGAAAGCCAAACTTCTTATGCTGAACTCCCACCCTGTACCAGGCTAACTTTAATTTACAACGGGACTCGAGACTCTGTCACATACTTGCGAAAAGCTCGTTCTTCAGAAAGAGCTCTTTAGCCACCATTTCCATTTCTTCTAAGTTTCTGACTGCCTGAATGCGATTAAATGAGACACAGGAAGACACATTTACAGCAAGGGTAGCTAACGTATTCAGCTGATCGACAATGTCAGCGTTGTTCTGCAATTCCAGCCGAATATCATCTGGAAAAAAAAACCAAACAAACACAAACAAAACCAATAGCATCACTACACACAGCAAAAAATCCATCACATCATTCTGCTCTTTACACTAACAATGACACCAGAAAAGAAGGAAAAAACCCATCATCCTAAACATTAAGTATAAAATACATTTCCGCACTTAGCAGTGCAATGAAGGCATGTTGTTGACCCAATTTTTATGCTAATAATTTGTCATATGCTCATGAGTTTGCCTTTGGGAGGATGCCAGCAATGGGATGTGACAGCCATCCCGAATCAGAAGTTGCCACTAACTTGCTGAGGTTTTATACTCTCATATGATGCTCGCCATTCTTTCCACATCTTATGGTTTTTGATGTAATCAACTCATCTGTTGAGCTGCTCTGTCTCAGGGGAGAATGTGCTTTATAGAAGCACATCAAGGAAACATTATGTCTGTTGTGCTGATGTGTGTACTAAACCTGATAATGCACTTTAATAAAGATGCTGCTGTTTCCTGGCTGTTTTAAAAGGTGACTGCATAATGCAGTGTAACTAATATGGAACAGCTGCTGCAGGCACGATGATTTTATGGGGAGTTAAGACAGGAGACGCTACTCATGAAATAACACAGGGGTCATCACGAACAGTATGTAAATATCCTTCTGACTGCAACAGACTACAACCACTCTTAGTTTATGCTGGGTTTTGCTGGTATAACCCAGATTTATGTTGACATGTATGGCCACTCATTGAACAAGTGGGTAGGGACAATAAGACCAGCTAGGAAGGGACTGTGATCACCATGCTGCGTACTAACAGGGGATGTATTCACCACCACTGTTAGCTGATGATTCCCACAGTGGAGATCAGCAACTCTCACCTTGAAGGACCATGCAGGACCACCAGAGAACAGCGAATTCCAGCAGAGCATCTCCTGTAATGATGCCTCTGGCTTCATCAGCCTGGGTACCTTTATCTGATCCCTTGCTTTTCTGCTCTGGAAAACTTTCAAGTTGAACCCTGATGTGATGCAAGTGAGCTCTCCACAACATTTCCCAGCAGAGTCCCAGGTAGCTTATTTGAAGTCATAATTATGGCTAAACAGTGTCCTCCAGTGGCCACACTCAGCTGCAGAGATTCCCATCCTACTATCCCTTCAACACTCACGAGAAACATCTCTTCATACAAGCCCTTTGCCTTCTAAGAGTTTTTTCCCATAGACCACAAGATTTTTTGAAGCACAGCTGAGATTGCCTTGCACTAAAGCATCCAATACTGGCCAAAGAGCAGTACCAGAAGATGGCTGCAGTTTAGCGACTCTGGAGCTCCCAGACCTGAAGTACAAATAGGAAGGCAGCAAATGTGGAACAACTTACCCAGTTCATTTATTTGACTCAGCAATTCAACTGCATCCAAATCCACCATCAGCTTGATAAAAACCTGCACAAAGGGATTCTGCAGGGTGTTCTATCAACAAGCAAAAAGAAAAAAGCATAGTTTGACCAGAAGCCCTTGAGCTTATTCAGTGTATTTCTAAAATATAACAGACCAGCTGCCTTCACTGAGCACTTGTACAAGCCCCTCCGACTCCTTTCCTGATCTTCCGTCTTTCACTCTGTGTATCAGGATGGGGAAATGTTAGCAATGAAAACATCATACAAAGCCCTGTGATTCCAAACCAGTGTTTCTTGGAGTCAACAGAAGATGGCTATTGAGTCTCCACCAGGGACTAGAGTCCCATGGAAAAATCATGGATAATCTTTGTTATTCTAAAAGTGCAGTAAATTTCATTTGTGTCTGTTTTAAGTCCTGTGAACACAGCCAGAGGACAATGGGTAGGGGACCAAAATTTATCTTGGAGACCAGCAGACAGATTTTTGTTTGGCTGCATAGTTCATTATTCCACCAATGAGTGCAGTCAGCAGAGACTATTTCATTTCACTTTTGCATCTTCCACTCCGGATTTTCTCTCAGTGCCATGGAAATGACAATGAATTCCAGCCACTGAAATTAACTTCTAGTGCTTTAGGGTTCCAGAGATCTCATTTTCATAGTTTTGTAAGAAAAGGAGACAATTTTTACTGCGGAGAACGGGAAGCAAGTATGTGAAACATTACAGCCTACTGCTTTCTGTATCCGAGCAAGGCTAGGCTCCTTAGGAGGGGAAAAAGAAATTTTATTTACTTTCACTGAGGTACAAACACATCTTCCAGCTCTTATGTGTGTACCCAGAGCTACATGCTTATTATAGATACTGTTTCATTTTCTGAAAAAAAGTCATTTCTTGCCTGGTCTTGGCTGGTTGGATCACTCCATCAAGCAAAAAGTTAATTTATAAACTGAAGAGCATTCCCTGTTCATCTTAGTCCTCCAGCAGGCCTCAGCATGGCCAGTGTCAAGCAGCATATTACAAACAGATTGTTTCAGAAAGAGGATTTGCATGGAAAGGTACATCAGGGGTATTTCTGTTACAGGAACAGGCAGGCAGGCACAGAAACTGTTAAGTCCAGGACAAAAGCCTGAGAAGGGTCTCCCCAGCTGACCTAAGACGTCCCTGAGGTCACTGGAACCCCGGTTTATTTCAGTGAAGAAATCCATCCTCCCAATTCCCTCCCGCGAGAGAGACAGGGGAGGTAGGATCTCATACCTTGATCATCGGAACAGTCTGGTTTAACTTAGTCAGTGAATTCATGATGACAGGAGACTTGTCCAACCACTCCTGGGACTTCAGGGCTAGATCAGCCATCTGCTTCAGGGTTGCATTAGACTATAAAAAAGCCCACAACATATAAGGAGTCACTTATTCATTACCTCACAGCTTTTAAACAATAAATAATAAATCAATAAAACAGCTAAGACCAAATTTGGTTTCCTTAGGATTTTTCTTAGCACCCTATCACTGTCTGGCAAAATGTCCCTTAACACACTGAATTTGGATGTAAGTACTTAAAAATATGGCCTCATATGTGACATTTGGCGCATGTCTTGGATATCAGCTTTCCTTCTACCACTGGTCTGCTTGCGAACAAGTACTGGTTATAGCATTTGCCCTGGGAGACATCTCTCTATTACTGGCTGAAAATATGGGAGTGAAACTTCATAAACTGAAGGCCTTAAAAAATTGTATTATAAATATCAGACCAACAGCAATTTTTTGGAGGTAAGATTCATTCAAAGACAAAAGATGACTCATATGACCAGCAATGCAACTAGGAAAAGATAATTTGACTAATACTCCAAACAGTCAGAAAACAGACTTCTGCTTCTCAAAGAAACAAGCCTCTGCCCACAATCCTTTTGAGTGGGCGTATCCTGATGTACTGTAAACAGAGCCATACCTTTCCCATGATTGCTCGAGTTTCTATGGTATCTGGTGTATAAAGGATCTTCCCAAGCACCATTGGTTTTAAAAAAGACCAAATTAAAGCTCCAGTTGGGGTCTTGACCAGGTCCAGGTAAAACGATAAGCAAAACGGTGCTGCAAGGGGAGAAAAGCAAACAAATTGCACCGAGCACAAATACACCAGACATGAGAAAGCTACCAGTGTATTTCTTCCCATCCACCCAGTTTGTTGCTGTGTCCAGTGAACGACTTCAGGGCGCTCTTCACTGACTGATATAATGTGTCTTGACAAAAGCAATCCACCCCCAAGATCTCCTGTTGCTGAACTCAAGCCAACAAAAGTGTCATTGTTCGAGCCAAGATTCTCTGCTTGAAGGTTATATGGAGTTTTGTGAACTCAGAGGTGCTAATAATGTCAGTACAGTCGGAAAAACTACACATCAAGAAAAAGCAGTGACCTGTCAAGCCCTAAGACCAGATCACCAACAAATGGGAAACAGTGCAGTGTCAAGCACTGCTAAGCTACATAGGCTGTTTTCCTTTCAACGTTTATGGAAATAAACCACCAATAATTAGGGCAGTGCAGATCTTCAGCTAGCATAAATCATGAGCACCTACAGCCCTCCAGAGACATACGGGCGAATAGCTCAGCACTGGATCTCTCTGGAAACAGCAGAGTTTGGCTCTGAAATACTTTTGCCTTAAGGAAAAGCCAGACTTACTGGAGTCATGAGGAATCCCATATTTCCTGATCATCTTTTGGACATAGACATCCTCCACAGAAGAACTGTTGCTTACAGGGTCTCCAAAATCTGGAAGCAAGGACTCAAAAAACAGGGGTGTGATCTCCTGGTTGCAGAGGACTTTTGACATGGACTTAAATGTGCCATGTGTTATCCTAAAGTTGTTTGGTTTAAATAATGCCTGGAGAAAAGACAAAATGCAAATAAATGCTGCACGCTAAAAGCATCCCATTCTGAGAGGAAAAAGAAGTAACAGAATTAGAAGGCAAGGACTGAACATTTTTACACTGCTTTCTTATGAGAAATTTGTCTCTACAAAAAAAGGGACTTTCCATGGAAATCATGCTTTTATGGCTAACCTCTGCTATGACAGAGGTGGGAAATTCATTTCCAGGTATGAAAGCCAATGTGGGAATTGCCTATAACGTGTGTATAGGAATTGCCTGTAATGTGTGGCTGGTGACACATATATACCCTGGGTTACAAGACAGAATTTGTCACGCAGATGTGCACATCCCCTATCCCCATCTAGTCCACAACGGCATGTGGTTCTGCAATGCGCAGGTAAAGTGATTACTAGAAATGATTCCTGTGATCTATGCTGTCTTTGACTACGGATCAGAGAGGGATTGGATGCAGTGCTGGATGGAGTTAGTGCAACCGGCAGAGCAGGACAGGGTTTGCACTGAATGTTTTGGGCAGTCTTGAGGCTTTGGGTGTGTTCTAACACACACTAAAGGTAAAGCAAATTTTTGCTGTTGACTTACATGGTTTTGGATAGCCTTTAGTGGGCAGTTCTCCAGTTGCTTTCACAAGCTGACCCCTTCCAGTAGACCGGTATATTTTGCTGGAAGTCTACCCTCCTTCAAGACAGTTGTTTATCCCCTGCATTTTTCTTCCTTAGTGTCCCTCCCACAGCCCATGTTCCTAGTGTCCGCCCAGTCATGAGCACATGATGGTCCCACTGCTCCAAATCAAAGCTCTCCCAGGAAGGCAACATAAAAGTTTGATAGAGATTCTTCTTAGGACACCACTGCTTTAAAGGAGAATCAGTAATCTATGATTTAATGCACCTTTGACTTCTAGGGTAAGAAATTCCTGTGGAAACTGTTCCAGTGGTGTTTTGCCTCCAAAGCACATGCAGACTACACGTACCTTAGTCAGTGGCACATTTCTAGACTGCCGGAGCTTTTTCAGTGAGTGAATAGCTTGTAGCAATGGATCAACGCCAGATTCAACCTGGTGTCTGAAATATTTCATTTTTGTCAGAAGGCCTAACATCTTGTCCACGGGTTTCTGAAGTTCCTTAGGGAAAAACATCTACAAGAGGCAGAAAGGAAATCAATTATGATTAGCAGGAATCTGTCCACACATGCATGTACACGCCCATATTGTGTTAATTCCAAGACAAAGCTTGTGGGATTTTCAAAACTGCTAGGAGGCTTAGGGAGCGGATGTCCCATGGGAAATGAATGGGATTTGTATTCCTAAATCCCCAAGCGCTTTAGCAAACCACTCCCCTGAATATTACATATTCTGAACAGTGCATGTTTCCAAACACATACAGTTGGAAAATGTGTATCAGATATTGGCTGGGATATAACCCGAGTCTCTAAGAGGTAGCATTTCGCACAACACAGATGTCAAACGCTACAAGTGACTTTTGACCGGAGCCAAATTCACTGGCATTCTCATTTAATAACTTTTGTTCCCCAGGATCACTTCTGTAACATTTTAAAATATTTGTTCAATATGCATTTCTCCGTGAATGGTATTTTTACATGCTGTGTATATAGTTGTGTGCGCGGGATATTTGAATCATTTAATAACTTGACAGTGCCAACTAGACTGGGAAAACATATTTTACAGGATTTTTTCCAGGGCTTCCCTTTTCAAGGAATAAAAAAATTCAGTCCAGTGCCTTATTTTTGGGGAGCCTGAACTCAGCTCGGAACGTTCAAGAGGTTGTGACAGCATATAAACGATACTAGCAGATAGGGAGGCATTTAGAGTAGGTCCAGCGCCTTTAAATGAGGTTTGCTGGTTTACATCAGCTGGGATCCTCATTTATATCTACACTGTCACAGCATGGATATGCAATAAAAATTACTGCATGAGCAAAGCCTGATCTTTGGCTTGTGTGAATCAGCATAGCTTCTGGCCACTGCAATGATATTTTATGACCTTTCAGCCACTAAATGCAGCAAAGACTATAGAAAGCACTCTACAAATCCAGTACTAACCTTGTATAAGAAATTGTAAATGTCTAAGTGTCGTAACAGTGTGACCCCCAGGATGTATGTCTCACGAGTCCTCTCTGAAAGAGAGAGATTGCAGAACTCCTCCACTACTGTTTGCAGCTGTGGGTCAGCAGGATGGATGCCACAAGACTCCAGCTGGAGGATCTGAGAAATGAACTGTGTTTGCACAAAGAAAGAAAAGATTTGTTAGGGGGTAGACTGCTCGCTCCAGTATGCGTGGATTAATCTTGCCTTGCTGCTGTTCTTTCCACACTGTCATATTTCAACCCTGAGAACCAGAAAATGCCTACCCATTACTCCCGCTCCAAGGGACAAATCCTAAGGACTGTGTTTTACTGCCCAGCTTGCACAGTACTGCCAAGCTTTTGGGGCTTTAATTTCCCACTGACTGATGCATGTAAAGTTTGGAAAAGAGCATGCTGTTTGGGGCTCAGTCCAGACAAGATGGTTGGGAAGGGGAAAAGCATCTGGAGCTCTGTTTGCGCAGGAGGCTGAGGAAGGCAAGCTCATCTCTCATTATGGGAGGCTATTTTTGGATGCCGAGCGCTCTCATGAATTGTGGCTAGAGGTGTGCTTTCTATCTGGACTGCAACAACTCCTCAGCACTGAGGACCTCACCAAGGACTCCACTCAGTCCTCATTAGTCTGTTGCAGTGAGCTGTGCCCTTGCTACGGATCGGAGCAATCACTCACCAGGCAGTGCATGGCTGCTTACCAGCTACTGGTGACAGCCAGAGAAACCATATGGCTCTTGGTCTCCAATGGCTGAACTGACGTCAATGACTGCTCTTACTGCATTTCTGATGGCTATTTTGATCCATAACATGCTATGCTGTCTATCCCTGTGGGATTGTCTACCTCTCCCTGTGCTGTCACACATGCAGTGATCTGCTTAGCTGCATTCACTAACAAATTCTGGTTTTAATGGTCTGAGAGGTAGAAAGCAACAAGATCTCCCACCAGGATGACAGCAAACTTACCTGACTGCTGTTTTCCGGGAGAGATGCTTCCAGAAGAGCATCAATACTGGCTGTGGACATTCCTGTTGTGTTTTTGAGATCCTCTTTGAGCTGGTCCACATTTTTAAACACATCTCTCAACTTTTCTGTAAAGAACAATCAAAGAACAATTGACGTAACAGCTTTCTCCAGACATACAGCAATCTCAAGCACACAGAGAGGACTTTAGGTAAAGTATGGAACCGCGGTACTGCTTATCACTGCTGATAAAAAAAAAAACAACTTGCAGAATACAGCCATGTTTTCTAGGTTTTACAGTCTGATTTGTGGGCTGAAGTTGACAGGTCTACTAATAGCAAAACTTGCTCAAATACAAAGACTTGGGACCTTCAGCACATAGGACTTTTTGGGCAGTACAGAAAACAAAAGGGTGGTCTAGAACAGGCTCTAGAATTACCCTAGGTAAAGGATCCCAAGGACATGGGACATGGTGTATGGCTATTTCATTAATCCCGTTTCTTCCTGGCAGGTAAACAGGTCTTGGGATTTCCAGCAGAAATTACGATACTAGTGGTGATGTTTACCAACATTGTAAAGTAAATACAGAAAACTACCTTGCTTGCTAGAATCTGTTAAATTCTCAGTGATGTTCAACATGGAATTCAAAGCAGTCATATACTGAGGAATCTCTTGAAAGAAAGCAATTTCTGGTACATTTTCTTGAAACCTAAATTGGAAAGACAAAACAACCAACAAAATTGGGAATATGAAAAGAAGGCAAGAAGCCATTTCATCATTTCATAAATAGAATACTAAAGCAGTCTAACTCAGAGGGAGAGCCTCACCACTTCATTTGTGTCTGGATGTTTGAGGCATCCCCAATCAGTATGTTTTGAAGCTCTTGTGAGATTCTTCTGTGATTCAGTACATTGGTCACAACTTGATTGCTCAGTTCAATAGCGCGGAGGAGCTGCTCATGAGATTGACTTTGTTCACACAGTTCTCCAAAGCTAACATTAGGGAGATGGCAAATACGCTGTATTGACTTAAAGCTCTCATAGTCACAAAGAAGTGTTGTCAGATCCCGGAGGTGAGATATCTTCAAAGGAAATTTTGAAAATGAAGACAAGTGCACAAACACCAGTTAGATGACAGAATTATAAAAGGCAACTTTTAAAGAGTCTAGCTGTCCTTTTCCATTTTTCTTTAGGATTAAAATTTTAGTATATATTTTCAGTTCATTCAAAAGGTCTCCAACAGAACAGTTTATAACAATCATTCCTACATGAGTTTGTAGCAGACCTGGCTACGCAACATTGCACAGGATCTAATAAACCTTGCAAGCCTTAACATATCATTTCCCCTGCCCAACACAGATACATAGCAATACTCCATTTGGACTTACCTGTTGACCAATTAATCTTCCCAGAGACCAAATAAATCTACCTTGTGCAACAGGTTTAGCCTTTCGGACACCACTTGATCATCTCTACTACAGCATATGAAATGGAGTTGGCTAGAAGTCAGGAATTCCGCACCTGCCAACCTGTGTAAAATTATAGTCCTTTGCCTACTCTGATATTATGGGCTGCCCTCTTGTCTGACATCATTATTTACCTTATCAGTCTCTTATGGCAAGAACTGTTTTCTGTTTTGTGCCTGTAAGTACCTGTCACACTGAGGCTCATCGTATTATTGTTACAGATATATTAAACAGCAACAGCATTGCATAGTGTTATCTTTTTTAAAAAAGACTTCTAAATTCTATTTCTTATTCAGAGAAATAGAATAAATTGCATGCATGCTATTAGTGCAGTCATGTATGTATGGTGTAAGAAGCATTTTATCCAGAAGAGGCATTGCCAAATCCAAAGCTGTGAGGGAAAGCCATGAATCAATATTGCTTCAGTGCTTAATCTCAGAAACCATTATGGTATTGTGAGACATCTAGGGCTAAGGGAGCATGTGGGGACTTGGACTCCAGCCATGCTGGTGTTGGTATAGCTCCTTAGGCATAGTGGTAACTAAGTTAGTGGTGCTTATAATTGCTAATTGGGTATGCACAATTCCACTTAGCAGGACAGAGGTATCTAACTGCTAGCGATGCCTTCGAAAACTCCTCCCTATGTACTTCTCAAATGAAGCTGAGGCATCCCAGAACGATCTCAGCTCTGCAAGGTGCTTTGCTAATTCTCAACGTACTGAACTTAAAAACCACTGGTGCACTGATTTATGAGGAATATGCTGCCACTGGCAATCTATGCAGTGCTCATCCTTTTGGGATGGCTGATGGAAAACAGAAGCCATTCTATCCAACAGACTAGGAGGACAGAAACACCTCTACCTTCTCAGAAAAATGGGTGTACACTTGGTAGGGACTTATACAAGAACAAGTTCCTCAGCCCAGTTTAATGGTGACCTTTAAATACAGGCAGCAGGCAGAAAACAGAGTTTCAGTCCTACTTTTTATCAGCTGTTCTTTTAAGAAACTTTTTTCAATACACTGTTTTTCAAAACCTCCATTGCACATTCATGTATCACTGCGGGATGTCCTTCAAGTCAGCATTTTAAGCAGGCTCACTTTTAGCTTCAGGAGCTCTGGTATGGATGAATGTTTCTCAGAGGTGTTATTTTGCATGAAAGAGTTCTTTTTCAGATGAGTTTGCTTCAAAAGCAGTGTGATGTTTTCTGTGCAAGAAAGAAAACAAAAGTTACTCGAGACAAAAATGCCAGACTTGCAGAAACTTCGCAGATGGGAATATCGGCACTTTTATTCTGAGGCCTACTGAGCATTGCTATTTTCCACCAAATTCACATGGCTCAGGAACTCTGAAATCACAGACCAAGACCTAAGTTGCAAGCTGGATTATAACAGATCCAGTCCAAGTAGGTGCTCTGGTCCTAAAGAAATTCACCCCTACTGGTAACAGGACTTCTGACAGTGCCCTTCAGAGCACACATGGTATCTCTACTCTGTGAGCAGATAAACCTCTCAGGTTTTACAATAAGCTCATACGATGAGTATCTATGTGAAATACCATGTTAACTCTCAAAAATAACTGCTGTCATCTTATGGGTACATAAAGCTGTGAAGGGAATATAGGTTTCTATTTGTAAGATTTCTTTATCTGAGTGTCAGCAACCTGTCATCACATAGCGAAGAGTAGATGTGCCTTTTGGACAGAGTTGAATGGAAAACTTATATCCGCAATGTGACATAACTCAAACAAAAAAGGAGTCTGGCTTCCCTAGGTCTCACAGCTCCAGTTAATTGCCATCAGATGAAAACATGTAGCACCATTCCTTCCTGTCATTAGACAAAACACTTTGAAAAGACAGCCACAACATATTCCAGCTGAGGTCCCACAACATTAATGAAATCATGATTACCTGTCAATTTGCTGTCTTCAACTTCAGTGGCATTTATTAAACACATCAGGTAAGGGTTATAGCTGTTATTCACTGTCACCTGTAAGATGGTGTTTTCAAATTCTAAAAACAGAAATCTGAAAAATAAGATAGGATTTTAAATCAGCCTCTCCTTCAGAAACAAGGTATATTAGGGAGCAACCTGTCAGCTGTATAGATGCTGCTCCTTGGCAATGTAAATAAGAATTCCAGATGAAGCCATGTGTCTCCCATGACATCTCCTAAGTGGGTACCCTCCCAATTTTACTTCATCAATTCTTTTTGCTGTTATCTCCCAAAGCTGTCATTCACTTTCAAACCACATGTACAAGAAAACACCCTTGAAAGGTTCACTGTGGATGCAAGATACGAATGGGAAGGTATGCCTAGGGGAGACCGAGAATCAAAAATTAGAGTCATACCACAAAGAAGGGGTTTCTGAAGAGTTTACCACTGGTGGCAAGCCTCCTACAGGATTCTGCTTCCACCGTGAACCGATACATGCCAACACAGAAAATTTTTGAAAGTCTCACTTTTGGCTGTATGTTCAGTTCAAGGAGAAATTTCCTCTTCTTCAATTTAACCCACCTTAGACCTAGTGTCCTAAACTATGGTGATCACAGGCTTAAGTTGCTCCACTGGAAGAAAATAATATACTTCACATGCTGGAATGAGAATGGTGGTCACTACCCATAAATGCAATTACAATACCCAAAAAGCAAACTCACCGTGTGATCAAACTGGTTGGTGACAGAGTTTGGTCACTCTGAGTCCAAGGTAGGGTCTTGTTGTACAGGGTTTCTGCCATGACAATGAAGTGATGAGCGACAATGTCAATGACACTATCAAAACTAGTTTTGTCAGAGAGAAAAGCCAAACTGGAACTTATATTGAATTCATTTAGCAGATCAAAGAAGTTCAGCCTCTTGAGAATGTAGTGACTAGCTTCTATGATTTCTAGAGCTGACACATTGTTAGCAGAGTTGTTTGCCACTGCTTCCAACAACTTTGCAAAGGCAGCTGCTTCGGTTAGATTCCTTTTTGTGTTTAGGAAACTGTCAACCACATCCCAGACACTTGAGTAGTAACTCCATTCGGTAAGGTTGAAGGTGTCTTGGATGCTCTGCAGCAGCTCGTTCATGTGGAGCTCATCCTGTGCCACGCTGAAGAGTGAGGACAGGTAATTCCAGGCTGCTAAGCTGTCAGAGAAATTTAGGGAGTTCAGTACTGTTTCATTCACCATGAAAGGAATGAGCATGTTCAAAAGCTGAGATGGGAGCACATCACCTACATCTTGGACTGGGATGGGACAGGAGGCATTACTCTGCAGCAGCCCCTCCGTGAGAGCAGTCAGAGCTCTCGCCTTCTCCTGTACCCAAGAGTTTTCCAGCTCGGAGACAAGGTTTAATTTGGAAAGGAAACTCAGAGAAAACTGCAGAGACTGGATGATGCACGACAGCTCCTTGGAAAAGTGTTCACTGCTGTTCTTGTAGACAGCAGCAAACTCCGGAGACAGTTTCAGGCTCGTTATGGCAAGCTGGAACACTTTTTTAAAGGTGTCATTGCCCATTGTTCCACTCTCCACGCTCATGGAATCAAAGAGGGGTTTGCAGGGGCTCCCAGCTAAGGACTCGCTTAGAGTGGTATTTTCAAACAGCATCTCAAGTGTTATGTAGAGTATGTCCTCAGCAGAGCAGTTCTGGGGTGTCCCATAACCATTGTCGCTGTTCTCTAGGAAAGGACTCAAGGCTAAATGCAAGAACTCCCAAATTTTTGCTTCTAGTGAAGTATTGTGCCATAAGGAAGACTCACTGAACTCCTTCTGCAGCAGCAAATGTGAGAAATGATAGACAATGTCCATTTTTTCTTCAAATGTTTTGTTTAAGTTGGTGTCATGAAGGACTTC